GCCATCTCAGCGAGCAGGGCATTATCGACTCGGGAGGGCCCTGTTTCAGTGATCTGCGATGAGCCAGAAGGTGAGTTTCTCCCAGTGCTGCGGCGAGAATCTTGTCAAGTCTGTAAAGACTCTGAGGGATGGTGAGGTTCTCCCAGCCCGTAGCTCTTTCCGTAACATCTCCGGATGCCTTCACAAGCACGGCCGTGTTTAGCAGGCCAAGGCATTCCCGAGAGTAGTTGTTCTCACTGTTTCACCTTAACTTCCGGGACTTTGGTCCCGAAGAGCCTAATTGGCTAGCGACGTCGCCCGCTCTCGAGTGATATATGTGACCCTCCTAGTTTCCCACTTGACACGTGATGTGCACTTGAGTTGTCTGCTATGAGTGTGAAGCATAGGCACGAGGACATGTCAGGCAGTGCAGATTTCTTTTGGCTTGGTGAGACCTTGTTTTGAGTGGGAAGAACCGTTTTCTGTTCGTTTTCTCGAAACTCGTTTGTCGGAACTCGTTTCCTGTTTGTGACCTGGTATTTGGTGACCAGAAGTGACTCAAGCCAGTTTAGGTCTGCACAGAGCTCAGCAGAGCACCTAAGAGGTGCTAGGAACCTACCCACAGTGTTTAGGAGTAGAAGTTCCATGGCTGAGTGTTTTCACCTGAAGTACCTTTGTTTTCCCATGTCTGGCAGACAGTGTTTGAAGCTGGAGAGCCGTGCTCGCATTGGCTCAAGACGAGCGGAGCTCGAGAAGCTGTGAACAGCGCAGTGAAAAGAGTCCGCACTTCGTGCTGTGAGGGTTAAGTGTAGTCTTGACCTGAGGTCCCTTAGGCCCCGTAGCTGTGCCACGAGTTTCAACGACGCAATCACGTGGCATGTTTTTGGCTTGAATATGTTTTTTTGTTGTGGCACGGGCTCGGCCAAGAACCCCATGTCTTGTAGCGGGAGGCGAGGGGAAGCGGCTTCGGCCTGCGAGTACCCGACGCCTCCCATCTCGAGTGCGTGTGGCAAGGGGCAAGCCGAAAACCCCATGTTTTCTAGTGGAGGCTAGGGAGGCTGCAAGGGGGGGCTTCAAGGGGGATCAGAGGAAGCTGCAAAGGGAGGTTTCAAGGGGGGCTTGAAAGGGGGGTCGGGCGTAAACGGCGCGAAGAAGGCCCAGGTACTAGGGCTTTTAAACTGCTCCCGGAAACCCGTACAGGGAGCAGTTTAAGAGGCCTCATAACTGGGCCTGCTTTGCAGAGGTTTCAGGAAGCAGTTTAAGAGGCCTAATGACTGGGCCTTCTTCGCGAGGTTCCAGGGAGCAGTTTAAGAGGCCTAATAACTGGGCCTGCTTCGCAGGGGTTTCAGGGAGCAGTTTAAGAGGCCTAATAACTGGGCCTTCTTCGCGAGGTTCCAGGGAGCAGTTTAAGAGGCCTAATAAGTGGGCCTGCTTCGCAGGGGTTTCAGGGAGCAGTTTAAGAGGCCTAATAACTGGGCCTTCTTCGCGACGTTTCGGCAGCAGTTTGAGAGGCCCACTAACTGGGCCTTCTTCGCGAGGTTCCAGGGAGCAGTTCAAGCGGCCTAATAACTGGGCTTGCTTCGCACGGGTTGCAGGGAGCAGTTTACGAGGCCGAGCACCTGGGCCTTCTTCGCGACGTTTAGGCTCGCGTCTCAAACCTCCCCTTCAGGCCCTCCTTGAAGCCTCCCTGTGAAGCTTCCCTTGAAGCCCCCCCTTCAAGCCCCCCTTGAAGCCCCCCTTGAAGCCCCCCTTCAAGCCCCCCTTGAAGCCCCCCTTGAAGCCCCCCTTGAAGCCCCCCTTGAAGCCCCCCTTCAAGCCCCCCTTCAAGCCCCCCCCTTCAAGCCCCCCTTCAAGCCCCCCTTCAAGCCTTCGACCCTTCGCCTCCCCCCCCTCCCCCCTTCACCCCCCCCCCCTTCAAGCCCCCTTCAAGGGTCCGACCCTTCAGCCCCCCTTCAAGGGGGGCTTCAAGCCCCCCTTCAAGCCCCCCTTCGTACGAAGGGGGCGGGCCCAGCCCCTAAGTTGGAGTGATGCGCAATGCTTCTTTCTCTCAGCCTGGCGGCACCCGCGTGGCCAGGTATAGACCCGCACCGAGCAAACGAACCTTGTAATGCTTTTTCGATCTTACTGCACCACCTGGCGCTGCTCTTGAAGTGTTTTGCAAAAATTGAGTAACGCGTGAGATGGTTGAAATCATACAAAATGCTTCTTACGGGTCCCAGTTGCTTACACCATAGGAAGCGATTGCGCATGAACCTGGCGCCTGCTAGATCGCTTTGGTGATTCCTGATGCAATGTGGTTTGCTTGCTAAGTCCTTGGAACTGGTGAGCGCTTTCAAGACGTGGGCTTCTACATGCTGGCATTAGTTGCAGGCACAGTGTCGCTCTGCGATTCCTGCAGTGTGGCTTGGTAAAGGAACTCCACGCCCACTGGCTGGCACCGTACAGTGTGGTCTTGCGACGGAACACAACGGCTGATCACCATGAAGCAGCTTGGGCACCGCTTGGCGCCACTCAAGTGTTACTGCAATTCGGATTATTGCTTGTTTGCTTCAAGGTCGCTCCAGATGTTGATCAACTGGAACCACCGTGGAGCATCGCGGGACACCTTTCCGTCCGGAAGAGTGCCCCCGGCCAAATCTCTTGTGGCATGTGATGATTGATGGACACTGAAATTTGTCGAGCCAGCACTTTCACTCTTGCTAGGCTGCCATATGCACCCTGCATACTTTGCATTTTTGCGACCTCTTTGAGCTTGGTGCTCAAGGATCCGCCCTTGAACTACAACGACGCGTTTGAGTTCTGAGCGCGTGGAGAGTTTCTTAGCTTTCGCTCTTTCTTCTTGGTTTCCTTGTCTGCTTCGCTTGGTTGCTGGTGGTGTGTTGTTGTTGTTGCTTCGGTTGGTGGTGTTGCTTTCTTGTTCTTCTTGCTTCTCACGGCGATGATTTCACACAGCTCCCGCCGCAACAAGTGGAAGCTCTTCGCTTTGGCTTTTGGCAGGTGAGCCGGAGGTTTATCCTCCAGCTGGAAGTGGCCGGGCTCCGATCAAGACCTCAAGGCTCATGCAGGAAGAAGATGAAGCCACCGATTCGCCCCACTCCTCCAGATGTGCATTCTGGTCTGCTTTAGTGCGGACTTCGTCTAGGTTGACTGGGGGTGTTTGGGGATGCCCAAATACCATCGTCTCACAAGCCTGGATGTGGCAAATTGGGAAAACTGAGAGCACTATGTTTCCCAAGCCTCACTCGGTTGGTTTCTTTCTTTTGCTGGTTTGATCAGGACTTCTCCAGCCTGAGCAGCAAAGTTAGGAGGTGGGTAAACCTCCCATCATGTCATCCCACTGCTCGCGAGCTTTTGGGCAGAATTAAAATCAATGGACGGCTGTTTTTTTCGAGACTCTGATCGACATGAAAGTTGGTGCGAACTTTCTTTGCCAGACTGTGGGTCGGCACCCTTGGCAACATAATGGAAGAGCCTCGCTGGGAGCTGGTGCCCTTCAAAGCACCACCGACTGAGCCTTGGAGGTTGCATCCTCCCAGTGAGAACACAGCAGAGGTTTCATCCTCGCTTCCAGGGCATAACCCCTGACTTTAGGAACGTCAATCATTCCTAATGGCTCAGCAGAGTTCTGATGCGAGTTTTCATCGTATCGAGTTTGCACGTCGTGACGTCGTAGTCCTCCTTTTCTTCCTCTTTTTCATGCGCATTTTGGAGATGGACCTGTCTAGTTGGCTGCTTGAAGAATGCCTGCCTGCAAGGTTTCGCCTGAAACCTTTGGAGCGCTTGCCGCCGAACAAAGGGGGACACCGCGACAAAAAAAAGTTCACGGATGGATTCATGCCAGCGGTATTGTTTTTATCACCGGCCAATATAGTTTTCTTATGGATTTGGGTTTTATATCTTATGATATCATATACGAGAGGGGGGAGGCGCCATTTATTATGGGCATTGGGTTCTACATTATATGATATCACTCGGGATTTCGGTTCTGGCCTATCTTCTTGACATGTTGGGCGACCTTCTGTGCCCAGGGGTTGGGCCATCTACAAGGTGATTGGGCCAGGAAATCACGCGCGCTTGTACATTCGTAACGGACTAGTGCAGGGCAATGAGCTCTTTCGGTTGTGTGCCGCCCTCATACACAGTGGTAGGCTTGATCCCCCGCCCTCAAAAGCAGGGTTGGCATTTCCCGCTTGAGCTAATGCCAGCTATGCATCCTGGTGAGGGCACATGTTGCGGTGACTGTTGTGAAGACTCTGAAGTCACAAAGACTGGAATCTGCTGTTGAGAAAGTTATCAAGCACCAGCATCATAGGCAATGGCATTGTGCTGCTTGGGAAGGAACCGTCGGGAGTACGCACTGTGTGACCCATAGGATCAAAACAATACCACTCGGAATGTCTTCTCCAGCAAACGCTCCACCCATCGCAACAGCCATAGAGCCGTAAACTTTGAACCTGTTGGTGCCCAACCCCCGGCCCCGGAATTCTGAGAAGCCATAGTTCCAATCATTCGGACGAATATTTTCAAACGGACTTCAGATGTAACGTGCTGCTACGCGTGTGTACCACCTCGTTGTTGTGATATCATGCTCATGCTCTTTTTGAGCTTTGCCTTGAAGCAAGAGAGCACGTATTCACAAGCGGCCCAGCCCTTCAACAGAGCCTTTTCCATTCGAGGGGAAGCAGAGTGCTTGTTGTGCAAATTGAATATTGAATATATAATTTTTAGTTTGCCATTTCATACACCGGTGGAATCAGGCATACAGTATGCCAACCATGCGGCTCGGCTGTCGGCGGGCGTCAAGAAAACGTGTTCATCGTTTGACAGAAAAAATGTTTCTAGCAAATTTTTTGGGCATGCACGCATAATTTTCCGCTTTAAGTATTTTGTGTTGCCTTGGTAACTTAGTCCCTGCCCATTGACAAGAAGTATCGTTCGATTAATGATTGGAGGTCTTCTTCCGCATGTAGATGAAAAGGTAAACAGCTGTCGAAATCCAGATTTTTGGTCGCTTTTGGCCCATGACAGCCGTCCTTTCTCAGAACCCATGGGGCGCCTTCGACTTCCCCCGTGCAATTTCGGTTCGCTGGCCCATGGATGACAGCCGCGCTCTCAATTCAATGGTGGGAATTCACGTGTGCATGAGTGCATGCAAGCCAGAATGCACTGCAGCTTTTGGGGTACACGTGGCTGTTTCTAAGGCGCTCATGTGCAGTCGATCCGGGAGGTTGGGTGCTCCATCTAAAACTGCAAGAGACCTTCTTTGTCCGACCAAAGCCTGCCAGGGATTTCGAATCAATTGGATGAACATGCGCGATGCCCTTACTGGACAAGGTTGCGACTGCACATGCATGTTGTGACGAGTTTCTTGGATGTATTGTTCGCTATATGATATGAATGCTGCTGCCGCAGTTCTGTGGGAGAGTGGCGAGTGGGATTGTGGTCTCGACGAGTTGGAGGACAGTGACCAAGCTCAACATGTGTTTTCGCATGTCGGCATGGACACATTGACGCATCAAGATACCGGCAGGCTCAAGTTCCTCGAGAAATTCTCAGCTGCAGACAGGCTACTTGAGCACAGTTTACTTGTCCAATATAGATCTTGGTCACATGGTCTGGCGGGCACGTGCAGACAGTGTGGCTTGCCAGGTATCCCGCGAGCTCAACTTTTCCTCCGTTGAAGTTATGACGAGCTTAAGACTGGTGCAGTCGGTCAGAGTCCCGAAGGTAAGCGCATGGCCTATCATTGCCTTCAAGTTCGGTACTGCATGGCTTGCAGCTGGAAGCAGTCAAGCAAGGTAGGAGCTCAGGTCATTTTCAAAGGCGAGCCGTTGGAGGATTCTGCAACAGTTTGTTTTCGTGGTGATTCGCTTGGCTTCGCAGGGACATGGTGCGTGCTTTTGCTGTCAAGGAGTGGAACTTCCATTTTGGTTTCGTCATACCAAACTCGACGAACACCTGGCAACAAACGATAGAGGCCACATGGCCACACCGAGAGTCGGTCCAGTCCTTGAGTTTACTTGTGTACTTCCATCTCTCTGTTTGAGAGTTGTTCAAGTTTGACATGACAATGGCACGGAGTGGCAAGTGCACGGCGGTGACGGCGGTAGAGGGGATGCATCCGTAGCTTCGGCAGGCTGCCGAAGAGGAGGAGATGCTTCCTGCAGAGCTGTTGTCGGATCCTTAGCTCAGGTGTCAGCTTTGTTCATCTAGAAGCACGTCGAAAGTCGAGCATAGCAGTATCGTAGTGTCATAGTGGTGGCGACAGCACTTCGATGCGATAGAACACGTTTTCAAGCAATGCCAGCTATGCAGACAAACATGGCCCAAATCTGAACAGGTCGGGAAATGTGATCATAGAGACAACATTTCTGGATGGTTCCCAGCTCAAAGTGTTCGTGCGTGTTGTGCCAGGCAGATCTGGGCTCTGGCTTTGTTTCATCTTGAGGCGATTGTCCCATCATGACTCAAAGGGCTTGGATCTCAGTCTCCTGGCCACAGCCAATCAAAAGAAAAGCCGGTCGTCTGATTCTTCAGGGTTGTCCGAGGTGCGCATCTGGTATGTGTGAGGAATGAAAAAGTTCCCTGCAAACCAATGTTGAAGCTTTGATTACAAGCGCAGTGATTGCTGGCTTGAACTGTTCAGGGTAGGTTTCGAGAACTTCAAGCTTGTTGATACCTTGTTTGTACCTGGTATGACACTGTGCTGACGAGGCACAGGGTTAGGTCTGCACCTATTGTGCAGAGTGACGGATAGTGCGACCTATGCTTTGCTACAAACAGTGGCAGAGTATGTGGGATGGTGTGAAAGACAGCATGAAACGGCGTGCTGGTTCAGAAAAAGCAACTTGTTCTGGAGTTTGGAGGTCAGGGCAGCGTTCACGAATTGTCTTTTTGAACAGGCCTGTCGCATCCTTGTCTTCTAAAGCTCTTTCTAGAACCATGGCGTGTTTCTTGATGGCTGGGTTGGTGTCCGGAACTTGTAGTAATGGCCCGGTTTCTCACGAAGCACATCTTCCCCACCTCCCACATGGGACGGTGCCAGCTACACAATGTCTGCTCTAAGTGCGGACTGGATAAACAGGGATGTCCAAGCTGGTGAGGGCAGGCTTCACGATTCGAATGGAGTAAGGTTGGACTAGATCAGAGAACACTGTCGATGTGTCCTTACAGATTTGGTTACCCTACATATGGTGGCAAGACTTCAATCGGGCTCGTACCCAGATGTCAAAGCACCCTCGTTCAGCTTACATGGAGCAAGGGTGACCGTGGAATGCAACAGTTCAGGAGGAGCCACCAGTCATTGTTGTAAGTTTGCCATCAGCACTGTCAGCACTATTGAGGGCATTGATTGAAGCCTGTTGCTAATGAACCATTTCAAAATAGGTTGCCAGTGCCAGGCCTTCTTGGTTGGGCCGAGCGCATGCTGTTAGAGTCAAGGCAACTTCTTGTGCGCAGTGATGTGCATTGGTCTTTGCTCTTCTTTCTCTTGATCCAACAAGCGCAAGCTGCGCAAACGTCGCAGGAAGGCTGAGGGCACTGAAAACAGGGTTGCTTTATGAAACTTTGGATGTTGGAACCATGGAAGTATCTTGGGTAGCGGTTTCAAAAGACGCTGCTTTCTTTCCGCATTCAGATCATGTCAACGAACCTCTTTGTGTGAACTGTGCGCGAGGACCCTCCTTGCCCCATGAGAGGAGGGGTATAGCTTTCTTAATCTCGGCAGTACAGAGGTAAGCCGAAGACATCGCCGGGGACCCTACAGCAATGAATTAAGGACATGACCCAAAAGAGCCGTGCGCCACCGTGTGAAGCACTATCGGGGCCAGGGCATACCCACGTCCGCTGAGAACGAGCACATTGAGGAAATTAGCATAGCCACGAACGAGGAGCCACGAGAAGCCAACACCACAGCAAACCCGCTTGATCCCGTTGCCTTTGCTTGAAAAAGTTGATGCAGTACGAATTCAAAAAGCGGAGCCGCAACCACTAGTTACTAGCAATGAAGAGGTCTTGCTTAGGAGTTTTTCGAACATTTGTGCCTGAGTTCCAGCAAGGTTACCAGCAACAGCATCAAACGCAGTCTTGCTTGAGCGGCAGCTTTGCATTCAGCTCGGGGGTGGACTTCCCGCCGTCTACCACGAAAGCACCGTAAGACTGCTTCCGATGATCCCGCGAAACTCTAAGCACTTCCAGCCGCCGCTGAACTGACCCTTCGGTTGAGGCGCTGCTCGGGTGCTAAAGCAGTTCAATCCAAGCCCGTTCTGACAAACCCTGAACCCGACCAGAAACAGTGCAAGTCCGAACTCTTCACGACATGACTTGGGACAAAGACCTCACGAACAAAGAAAGCCCCAAAAACATGCAATTAGGGGTTCGCCCGACAACGATTTGTTTACGAAAACATAGCAGGCGTGTGACAAACACACAGAACATGCATTTTGAAAACACGGCGCGGTTTTGCGTGCAAAAACTGCAGGCTTTGCTTCTCGATGATTCGCAGACTATGGGCTTTTGCATAATCCAGCAGAAGGCAGAGCTCATGCAATGTTTTTTATGCGCGCGCAAATGTGGCCAAAACCTAGGGAAAACCATGAATTCCATTAGAAAACGCGGACAAAGAAGGAACCTGTAGGTCGCTTTACCATCCCTCCGCTTCTGGGCTCGCTCGGACGTGGGCGCTGCCCCTTGAAAAATGTGCAACGTGGTTTGCGGTTAAGGATGCTCGAGACTACGTTTGAAAGCATTCTGGAACGCCAGTTTCTCTCGTTTGGGCGTGCGTGTGGCAGAAAACCTCAAAAGGCATCACCCCTGAGACTTGAATGACTTGCAAGCATTCGTGGTTCTGATGTAACTTGGGTTTTGGGGCGGCCGGTGCTTTGCGTTCCGCTTGTACTTCTTGCACCAATGGCTTGGTGCCTTTTCCACTGTTGGTGGATTTGTCGGCCTTCCCCATGCGTGCGGCTCTTGGGGGTGAGTTAGGGTTCGGTCTGTTCCAGGAACCCGACTTCAGCACTGTCACAGCGACGAACAGCTTCGAACTTGCGGGCGTCCGCGCGGAGGGGATGGGGATTGCTCTGTTCTCTCATGCCGTGCAGCAGACAGAAGAAGAAGAAGCAGAAGCAGAAGCAGAAGCAGAAGCAGAAGCAGAAGCAGAAGCAGAAGCAGAAGCGGAAGCGGAAGCGGAAGCCGAAGCCGAAGCCGAAGCCGAAGCCGAAGCAGAAGCAGAAGCAGAAGCAGAAGAAGAAGAAGAAGAAGAAATAAAGAGCGAGAGAATAAAAACACAGAAAGACATAAAGGTAAAGATGACGTATTATGCCGTGCGACTTTGCAAGATTATGGGGATCTGCCGGCTGGATCTTCGCTGATTTGATGTTGCCTCGATGACTTTATGGCAAGCCGGCCGATGTTTGGTGACGGCGTAGTCGCTCCGTCGGACAAAAAAATCAAGCCAGCCTGTAGCATTGGCTCAAGCTAAACATGGACAATCTCGTTCTCGTGCGGGAGTTACTTCCAGGCACCTCCGAATGTATGGAAGTTTCAGAATCCACCAAGTCAGAGCTTATAGAAACGTTATGTGGGCAATGCTCTGGCTTGGCTCATGTTTCTGGATTCCGTGAATCTGGAAACTGCATCAGCTTGAAACAAGTATCAGCTTTCCTTCAGGATGGTAACTGATGAATCCGTTGCCGAGTTCATATCCTTGACTTCTGCAAGCGATGACGAGGCGATCTTTCTTGGCTAGTTGGCCTGGTCTGCAGTCGCTAGCAGATATCTGTCATGCCGTTGAGGCAAAAGGTTACTTGGAGATGGCCGGGGGCAACTTGCAGCAGGCATGGGGGACACGACACTGTTTCCTCTAGTCCTTTGCATTCGATTAGGCCCTTGGCTTGTTCTTCGAGATGGGCGGAGGATCTCCTGAATTCCCGACATGGCTTACCACAAGTGCTCGAGGATGCTTAAGATTCTAAGATTCTGCCATTTCAGAAGCGTGCTTTGCCAGGCCCTCGGGCCGTCTCCATCTCCGGCCCCAGCAGCTTCGGACGAGAACTTAGATTCCTGGTAGCCCTCGCCATTCTCCCGTTCTTTTCACTTTCAGGGTCACGCCACGCTTCTGAGCTCGGTGCATAGGCAACCCATCAGCCGGTCATCGATGCAGATGTGGCTGCTGAAGTAGCGGCAGCAGCGGCTGCTGCTGGAATTGACACAGGCAAGTCATGGCTTGTCAGCGTGTAATGTACCTTCGGTGAGTTCAATGTGCTTTGTGGCATAGTGTGACCAACTGGGAAGCCCAACCTCTTGCAAGCTCTGGCCAATGCTATGCTCCACTTCTGCCGCAAGCTCTTTCTTTCACATTCCTGTCTTTTGGCCATCCAGACGGCTCAGGCCATCTAGCTGCCATTAGCTGCCCTTCTTCGAACCCCCCAAGTGCGTGCCCAAAGCGTGATTGCATGGCGCTAAGTTGCGAAGACGTTTCGCAGCCGCTGCGGAGACGACGGTCGTCGGTCACTTTCAGCTCCCAGCAGCGCTCAATGGGTTCATGCCTGATCCTGGCAAAGCGGAAAGCTGAGTGTTCCTACCATTGCCTCTTCTATCTGAGACTGCGCTGCTCACAGCCTCGCAGCTCCTGCTCTGACCCCCGACTGTCTCTCTGTTCCATGCCTCGCTTCGCTGGCTGGTGCGCCCTTTTTTGAAAGCCACCGAAATCCTTCCGCATCCGAGATCGAGAACCACGCACACTCCAGGAGCCCGCGCTGACTCAACCCGGGTTTCCATTTACATTTTCACACCCACGCGACCCTGCCAGACAGAAAGGGTAGGGGAGGTCGTTGCTGCGCGATAGCCCTTTGGATCTTGTCCTGTGCAAGGCCCGTTGGAGGATGCACACATGGCCTGGGACTTGGAGAACATCCTACGACATTCTCCTTTTATGGCCTAATGAATTTGACTCTACAGTGCTCGGACCGCCAGTTTGATTTTCAGTGATGAAATACAGTTTGTGACAGCAGGCCGCGGAGGAGGAAGTACGGGCACCGTTGCCCGCTTATCAGGATGGTATGGTGTTGTTGCAATTTTTGCATTGTGGAGGTTTACTCTTGCCCATGTGCTCTGCGCAGGATCAGATCATCAATCCGGAGCTCGAGCATCGGAGGATGCAGGCAATTGTAGACAACTCTTACTGCAGCATACTGCAGCGGATCAGAAGGGCGAAGATGCGCTGCGCTTTGCAGTGGGCTTTGCAGGAGCAGATGGCTGCTGATTCCGCTGCAATGTTTCGGCGGATGTCCTTTGATCGCGGTGGTGATTCGGCCGGAGCATCTCGGTGTGCAGAGCGCGCAGATGCTGACAACCTAAGCGCAAGAAGAGTGCATGTAAGCCGTTCGGTTGCACCTGTCACACAGGCTGGTTCTGGAACGGGTGAAGAACAACAGGATGAGCAAATGGGAGAGGGCAAGGTGCGGACGTGAGCACCGCTTTGCGCACCGGTTTCTGCCTGTTGTTGTTGATGGCATGGCAGTCCGTAGTCGTCTCTTCCAAACTCGGCTTCCAAATGTATGACGAAAAACAATCCGAACTCCTGTTTAATTGGGGGGGTGGCCCCCCCCCCCCTCCCCCGCCCCTCCCCCCCCCCCCCCAATAAGGAATGCAGGGTTCCGCACCAATAAGGAATGCAGGGTTCCGCAATTGTTGGACCATGGCCCCCTGTATTGATTCTCTATTAAAAACAATAGGCTGCAGATCCCTGAGGTGCTGTAGCTTCGCATCTCCGCAAGCAAAACAAGAAGCCTGCCGACAGATTTTTGAACGCCCCCCAAAAAACTCCTTTAAATGTGGGGGGGTATCCCCATACGAAATCCACCCTAATGGAAAGTAGTCTTCCGGCGGGCTTCCGGCCGAAAAAAACCTCTTTAAATGTGGGGGGTTTGATTAAACAGGTGCTCGGATTAGGAACATCTGCCGGCTCTCGGGGCCCTTTTAGCACTGTGGGTCGGTGAACAATGGTGAACGACTCCAGTGAGTTTGGCTCATGGCATGAGATGCCAGCATCAATGTGTGCCAGCCAGTGAAGCTTTTCCCGAACCTTGCTTCCTCATGGATTGCGAACGAAATAGTCATTCTGCTAGATTTTGGGGTGATTTCTCCACTGCATAATGGTGGACTCACTTTTGGCGGCGTTCAAGATGTGCTGCAGACAACAACCGCTCCCTTCATTCTGCCTTCTTCGCATTCCTTGGCATTTCGTGGCAGGTTTCCTGGTTGCTTTCACCTGCAAAAATATTGGCGTGAGTTTTGCAGGTTCCGCAGTCCAGTATCCCACTACCACCACTACCAGTCGCCACCAGTGTGTAGAACGTCCTGGAGCCACGCGGTTGCGAGGACTCCTTTAGTCAGTTGCGAGGGTCTCGAGGCCTTGGCCCATACATTCGGGCCTTCGAAAGGTGTTAGCAGATTCCCCGCGCTCCGTTTGTGTGAGAGTCCAACATCAGGTGTCTACCTCATGACACGATGCAGCGCGTGACGAATCTTCATGAAATCCCAGACATGGGACTAATTCCGTGCACATGCTGCAGATTACATACTCGTTTCCCAACACTCAGTTCCCAACCATGCTAGTGGCTTGTCACATACATAGCGCAGGAAACTTGTGAACCTCAACTTAAAAAGCCCGCCGAGCTGAAACTTATATGGCGTACCGTAGCACCACACTCGTGCTTTGTGTCTACCGACAGCTTACTTCAAGACATGAATCCCATAAGAGCAGTGCGGAAGTGGCATGAGAGTGGCCAGGGGAGATTGACCTGGTGCTGCCACCAAATTTATAGCCACTTGAAGTCATGAAGAAGTACTGAAATATCGGGAGCCTCCAGACCCCGCCAGGATTTTGCAGCCTGGACCTCGGGTGCCACGTCATGTACAAATGTGTACCAATGCGTTGGGAAAACCCAGGATTTTGAAGCGTGTTTGGGCGTGTTTTGCAGGGGCGAATTCAGCACCGCGATGTCTACGAAAGGGCTCTGGTGGAGCCCAGGATCTACAGATATCTAGGGTGCACTTCAGCCTTCACGAGGATTGCAAAGCCGGGCATCGGCAGACACCATGAAGGAAGCGAGGGCTGGCGACGAGAACATTATGAAGACAGCAAGAACCCCAATTGAAATGGGGAGTAGTCCGAATAGATGGTAGCACCTTGGCTCTATCTACACCAACAAACCATGCCCGCACTGGTGCTCGATCATACGGTCTTATGTTGTATGACAAAATTGGCAGCAGTTTTGTGCTGTTTCTGTCGCACTGGATTTAAGATTCCTTCGCGCTGCCGACTGGCTTCAGGCCATCAACAAGCTTTTTGCCCCTCCGGAGTACAACGAGGCTTTTTTCGCTTTCTTCGTGTTTTGCAAGAATCGCAAATCGCACAAATGAGCAGGGGAGCAGCTACTACGACACAATCGAGAAGGCCACTTTGATCTGCAGGGCATAGGGGGTGAGTATGGGTGAGTGCAAGCGTGAGGCAAGTGGCATCTTGTGTTGTCAAGTTGTCAAGGCGAAGGCTGAAGGCAAATGGGTACTGGCTCGGGCCCGAGTGAGATTTTTACGTTCCAGTCGTCGCGCAGGAGATGGGAGAAATAACCGAAGCAGGCATTTCTCGGTTAATTATGCGAACACTCTGAAAGTAGAACGCCATACCAACGAACTCGCTTTCAGCCTGGCTTGATGTTTAGTAGGAGCTGCGTGTAATTTGACACGGTCATCTCTTTCTTTTCTTTCAGGTCAATATCCAGCAGGCGGAAGTGTTTGCATCTCACACCCTGAACAGGGACGTGCGGGTCTTGAGGTTTTCCGTGTCTAGTAGCTGCAGCTGGTCGCGTTCATGCTGATGCAGCTTCAGTTTTCTCCTGGCGATGCATACAGAAAGTAGGCATTTACTTGCAACTTTGAGGTATGGAGTGATGACACCATTAAAGACATTATCACAGGTTCGTTTCTGTTCTGGTGTGGGACCAAGGATCACGTGTCCTGACACGACATGATTCAGTTGCCAGCGGAGACAGCGTTCACATTGTTGTTAGGCAGCGGGATGACAAATCGGCCGAGGGTGACCAGTTTTGTCACTATCACCAATGCGGGTGCCAACTGCCTTTCTTCGTCCTGCCAAAATGCAATGTTTGCAGCCTGCTCGCGCATGCTCGGCTGTTCCTGAAGGCACCAGCTCCCTCACATTTGTGTCATTGATCCTCGGACTGGACGACGGGTCAAGGAGCGCTGGGAATTAGGCTTGTCAGGGCTCTGTCTTAAGACTTTCATGCAAGCACCGTGCCGCTCTTGGGTCCTGTGTCGCCGCTGTACATGTCCGCATGTCCCTGCAGAACTGGGATGGGCGCAAATGGGTTGAGTCCCATGCTGCAGCGGAGTGCCCGGGAGGGACTCCCAGCACAACCGTGCACGCTTTCTGCCTTCAGCCTTTTGCGTGAGCTTTGTGCAGGTACTTGTTTGGCTTTTTGGACCAGTTTTCCATGTCTAGGTTGAGGCCTCAGCATGGCAACACGCAGATCTGTTGTTTTTTCTCATGACCCCCTCCACCTGTCGAAACCTGATTTGGGCCCTGAAGCCCTGCTTGGTGAACGCAAGTCCTTCAACACTGGGGGCCGGGGAGCGAGGGACGACTTGGTTATGTTTTGTCCGAGGTCTCCGCCATCCATGTCACCGACCGCTAGTCCTGTGATGCATCCGAAGGCTCAGTGCACTTAGTGCCTCAGTGCACGCATCACTCCCGGAAGGGCACGCAGGGCGCATCTGGTGCCAGGCTTCACCTCCAGATCCTTCCCAGATACAGCTTCATGGTTTTGAGGACATGGAGGCAGGCATGGTGACGGCAGCAACAGAGGTTTGAAACATGTGTTGTGTGTAGCAGCTTTGGGTGAACATGCCTCGTTTTCTGGCAGTTAAGTTTACGGGGCGCGTATGTGTTTCGGATGACACATGAGCAGCGTGAGTTCTTGTGTTAAAGGCACCCATAGTGCACATGCACTACACCTGCCACATTTGTGAGCTCGGTCGGCCGTGTGTGTGATGCAATGAGACTTATTCTCTTGTAAATAACGAAGCATGCGCCTGCTGAGTTCCTTAATGTTGGACCCTCCCCCTGAACAGTCGAGGCGTGGATGGGATCCTGAATAAAGGGCCCCGGGGTTTTATATGATTTTAATAGAGAGGAGTTTAGATAGATTTAAAAGGGATCCGTATGAATTTAAAAGGGAGCCGCGCGAATCGAAAAGGGGTCCGGGATGAGTTTATATGAATTTGAAAGGAATCCATAGGCTTTTTCCAAATTCGGAGCCTCCGGGTTGGGGCCCGGACATTAAAGAGGGCCCCGAAACAGTCCTATTATTGAGGGTCCGAGGGGGCCCCTGGACCACCCCCTTGCCGGATTGAGGGGGACCAATTTTTCAAAAGGTTTCCTTAAAGGAAAATATTGGTTTCGGGCCGGTTGGAATTCCGCAAATCGGCCTTTGAAATCCTAAGGCCCGGCTTTAAAATCAAAAGGCCCGGCATCCAAAATCGGGGCTCCGGGCCGGGGCCCGGACATTAAAGAGGGCCCCGAAACAGTCCCATTATTGATGGTCCGAGGGGGCCCCCCTTGTCGGATTGAACGAAACCAATTTTTCAAATGGTTTCTTAAAGAGAATTAATAGTTTCGGGCCGGTTGGAATTCAGGAGGTCGGCCTTTGAAATCCTAAGGCCCGGCTTTGAATTCATAAGGCCCGGCTTAAAGCCGGAGCCTCCGGGCCGAAACAAGCCCCAAATCCTTAAAAAATTCGGGTTTCGGGAACCGGTTGACTTTAAAGAGGACCCCGCAAACAGTCAGGGGGTCCTGAATAATTCGGCCAAATTGACTTTAAAGGGGAGGCCCCTACTAAAGAGGGTCCAACATTAACGATTCGGTGATCGAGGCCAAGAGTCTACCGGGGGTCACCTAATGTTAACGGCGCTTTCATAACTCCCCCCCCAAAAAAAAGACATCTGTTTTAAAGGACATCTGTTTTGCGTCCGGGGGTTTGGAGGGTGGTAAAAAAAGGGCAGGCGAGGTAATTAGTGTCTGGGGTCTGGGGGTCTGCGGGGGGCGGCGGGGGGGGGGGGGGGGGGGGGGTGGGTGGGTGGGTGGGTGGGTGGGTGGGTGGGTGGGTTCAATTGAACTGTTTGGCAATCAGCAGGAAATGATCTGTTTAGCCATATGAGCCGGGAAACTGCTGCTAATTGAAAATAGTCCTGGACCGGGATCCCCGGACTGGCCGAGCATGCCAACATTTCCCACACCATTTATAAATGTAAGGTTAACCTTTCTGGTTGGGCTTTACCATCCATGCATCCCCCGGCCATACTGTCCGACGCTTGCATCGCCGGAAATATGTCAGCGATGTTGGGGTTCTCGACAGGACTTGTCCGCGGGGTCACTGCGGGAGCCCCACAATGGTCAGTGGCGGGAATCAGGGTTGCGAAGGTGGAGGGCATACAGGCCAAGTGCGATACTTCCACCGAAAAGGCGAGCCCAGGCCCTTGAGTTGATGCTGCGGGCCCCTCCATGAAAAAGCCTTCCAGGTCCCCCCCACCCATCCCCCACATTTTGGAGGTTTGCGGTGTGGAGGGAGAAATGGATGTTCCACCTCCTCAAATGGATGTTCCACCTCCTCATGAACTCTCGTGTTCCGGGTTGCGGTTGTAGCCAGCAAATACACAAAAGCGGGTGCAATATAAAACTTGCCCAAAGAGAGCTGTCGAATCGATGGTGCTCTATCGACAACGTGCTTGCTCTCATAGGGCCGTCTGTCTCCGATCTGGAATGCTGAGCCCGAATGATCCATGTCGGATACCGCACTGTTCCCTTTACATACTTGCATCTTCTGAGAATGAAACCCTTCCAACTTCGTTTGGGATGATGCCGTCAGCTGTTTGGGTTGGGCCGAGCCGTGGTTTCGGTCCCGAGGCTTCCGGCCATTCACCGAGTTTTCGTTGCGGTCTTGTTTTCACTTGCAGCTCGGCGATCGATTTTCTCAAGTAGCTGTCGGGGAACCGGTGGAGTGGGCGTATGGAGCACCAGTGGAGAAAACCGAGGGCTGTGCTGGGGAATGCATAAGCTGCAAGCTATGGGGTTTAGACGCTATTGACGCAAGATTGCTCCCAGGTGGAGGGAGTGGAAACCAAGGAGGCCTATGCATTGCTCAGCTGCATCGTCGTAGTCCAGCATATGCAAAAAAAATCCTAAGAGGTCGTGTGCGTGCTGACAGGAGCCCGTGCCAGCCTTGCCAGAAGAACCAGCCGAGGGCACCGAGCATCTCAAGGCAGGTACACTGTGTCGCTACAAGCCGAAGAACAAGATCGATCAAGATCGCAAGCTGCAAAGCATCGAAGTTAGCTTCTTCGCCGTTTCAAGATCTTGTTGCGTTTTCAAGCAGGCCTCCTCAAACCCGTCTTGTGTGTTGAGTATTACATGATCACTCAAGAAACCTAATCAACATGTTCGATTTCCTCTGAGCGCCAATGACGTCCTATGCATTCAACGCAGCTTTTATTGCCCCTTCTACTATGAAATCCTATGACTGCTTTGAGATACAGCTTTTGTTTTCCCTACTGTTGGAAGTTCTCTCTCACTTCGAGTTTTCGATGTGAAGCCCTTGCAGCCCACACCCTGTAGATTCCAACGAGAGCTGTGTGGGCCCATCAACTTTTATGAGAGTTGTGAGGGCTGGGTCGTCAGTAGTCAGAATTCAGTCCGACACCCATCCGCCCATTCCGGTGTGCCCTCCAGAGCCAAACAGCTGCACGCACTACGCGGGCGAAATGTGCGGCTGGCAGCAGCAGCGTGGCGTTCTGAACATCTCCAGTTGCTATCGGCTGGTCCATAGTATTGTCATGAGTTGTCTGTTGCAGCAAGTGATTCACTGCGCTGTATCGGTGACTGCGCGTGCCTGGGCAAACTAGATTTCCATAGTATCTGTCTCGACAGGTTTCGTTTCGTTTACCTTCTGGCCAGCGAGTAGCCAGACGATTTCGACCCGATGATCGGCTTGAACAGATGGTGGATGTCTGAGTCTTCTCGCAGTCTTAGGCGGAGTGTCGGGGAGAGAGAAAAAGAGAGAGCGGAATGCAGCGTGGCAAGTGCTGGCACAGTTTGTGGTCGCGGCCGCGTTGACGGAGAAACCGACCGAAAAGGTGGACTTGGCGACGCAGGCTCCTTGCTAATCACTTGCAGATAGCTTGCAGACAGCTTGCAGAATGCTTTAGACGCTTTAGACACCTTTTGCTTCTTTCACACCACTTTGCGCATCGTTGTTCAGTTTCCCACGCGGTCGCTTCGAGAAGTTGAGGGGGGCCTCTCCACCTTGATCAAGGATGCGAAGGCTCGGGGGCAATAGTTTAGGACTCAAAGCTCCGAAACTCACTTTAGTGGTTTAGCGCATTTTGGCGCCTCTGAGGTGGCTGGCAATCTTCTGCTGGTCAATATTCGGTCGTGTCCTCACCTTAGAGGACGAGAGCATGTTCCGCAGTTCCACAGCACACTTGTAGACAGCTCAGATATCCTGCAACATGCACCGCAAACTTGCGCTAACACCAATAGGACATGCCGCAATTAAGGGTAGTAATCGCTTTTGCTTTCACCCCGTTCTTTCTGTGTTTCCTTCGCAAGACAGATTCTTTTTCACACCCCAAAATGCAAGAGGACAGCATGCTTGCGCTCATAACCAGGCAACCTCCTGTTAATTGTAAACGCTTGCGCGCGCCGCCTCGGCAGCCGGGCCGGCCCCAGGACAGGAAAGGAGGAAAGAGGGTTTCGCAAAAAAAGGGGAGGAAGGGCAGAGAGGTCAAGGGGGGGGGGGGGGGGGGGGGGGGGGGGGGGGGGTGGGGGGGGGGGGGGGTGGGGGGGGGGGGGGGGGTGGGGGGGGTTGGGGGGGGTGGGCGGGAGTGTGTGGGGGGGGGGGGGGTGGGGTTTTGGGGCACTCTCCCTGTCGGAGCCACCGACAGGCGGGACCCTCCACGGCATCGGTTTGCAGCTCCTCCAAGCGATTGGGGGGGGTCCCACAGGGCGGGGGAGGAAGGCCCGATCCGGGTCTGCTTGTTCCAGACGCTTCTCCGCAAGAAGCCGAGGCGAATTAAATACAGCTAAGTTACAAGCTTGTGCCTGAATTGAACACAGTAATTAGTATTCTGGGTGACCGGGAAAAGCTATTAGAACTCTGTGGAATAAATTAAAAACTTTTGGCTTGCTTGTTGTGTGTGCTGCGATCCATTGTAGTTTATCGTTTTTTGGGGGTGTGTGCGTGCGCATCACATAGAGCCTCGCAAAGCGTCCGCAAGTCTAACACGTCCCTGCGGCCGCAAGGCGGATTCAACCTCGGACTGCTCCGAGAGTGTTGCGGCAATTGTGGCAACGCCATGCGACGTCATACTTTTTAGGGAGAACTGCAGACCGTAGATATCATGGACCCTTTGTGTTTTCTGGGGGCTCGTTGTCAGAGTCTTGTCAGCATCGCATCGTTTCCATGACTACCAGCACGTCCCGTATTTGAGTTCTAGTGGGTTCTGCATGAGTATCATTTCATCCGAAAGGGTTTTTCAGCACCACCAGAAGCTTGCCAGACGGAAATGGCCGCAACTGGCAAACATCAAGGACGAAACCCTACGGTTTGTTGATCTAATGAAAGCCACACGCTCGGACCATTTCCGAATCAGTGCATCCAGAGCTGCAGCTCTCCAAGCTTAAGCTGCTTTGGGCAAAGAAGTGGCAGGAGCCATGACGCCACGAATCATGTTGCTGCATAACCAGAGCACGAACGGCAATGTTGTTGTGGTCGACAGGCCGCGAAGAACAACGCCAGATGCAATAGGACAACACACGTACACTTACAATCCGTGTAGCAGTGTAACCCTCCTATACCGACAATCATCAGAGTGCGGCGGGGGAGTCACGGGGCGACGAACCTTCAGGGCCCCTGGCTCTTCGAGTCACGCCCAAGCCAGTCTGACTTCTTTCTTTTGCTTTGCGTAGCTGCGTCGGTCTTGTGCTGTCGTACAGTCTTACAGTATGTTCAGCTTGCTGAGGATGAGCAATGATGAGCATTCCACTTCATTGAGCGGAGTGAGGACCAGACTGAGACTGTGAAGCAAGCGGTCTCCGTGTCACTCCGCCTTTTGAAGGGGAACCAAGATCATTCAACTTCATCCAACATCGGTATGCAAATGAGAAGAATGAGAGTTTATCAAGTGCGCAGCCTCGCTATCAAGCCAGGAGTCAAAGACCGGACCAGTGTCAAACAAAAACCAAACAAAAACTGCTAATGTCTTCACAAAGCGAAGCTTCTCCGCTTTGGGAGAGAATTCGGCTGCCTCTCCGACGGCTTCATGGTAGGTGCAGCCTATTGCTTCAAGGTCGAGAGGCAAGCCATGTTCCAAGCATGCGCTAGATGCCGCGAGCCCTGTACAGCTGTGGCAGTGGCAAGAAAGCTGTGTCTACCTGCCTGCATCCGGCAAAGCAATGTTGCCCGACATGGTAGTTCACGCGAACGTTGCGGCAGATTTGTTCCGCAGCAAATCCGGTGACTTACTTACTACTGCAGTCGTTTTTGCTTGTTTGGGCTGCCGCACAGCCTTCAGCCTTCCATGGACATGCGCAGCTTGACCCGCGCTAAGCAGAAAGCCAGTAGCTGGTGTGTGTGTGTCATGCATATCTAATCGTACTCCAAATGTTCTAAAAGCCTTGGAGCCCTCAAGCTTTGGTCCCAATTCTGGGACACCAAGCTTGTCCTTGCCGTTGGCTGCTGACATGATATCATAGCTTGCAGCAGAGTCTGTCAGCGATGGGGCCGCTATGTGGTTAGCCTTAGCGCAATGGATGCGCTGGATGTGCTGGAGGCCGTATGATCCTGACGGGGGTCACTTGTTGATTGGGAGCAAATGGATCGGCGCGTTGCTGCTTCTCCGGCCAGGTACAGCTGCTGGAAAGGCAAATCAAGTTGGCGGAGGCTAGACGCTGCGAATGCCAGAGACGTCTAGTCTTGGAAGTGCAAGTGCCAGGAAAGGCATGCCGCTGGTGAGTCGCGTGAATCTGCCGGATGCTGAACTTGTGCATGAAAATCGAGTCGGTTCGAGCTTGCACACGCAGCAGTGGGCAGAACAACGTAGAATATACATATATATATATACATGTACTGTCTATACAGATGAACATACGGAATAAAAAATACATACATATGTGTATATATATATATAGTATCTGTGCATATCTGTCTATTAATATATCTGTATGAATCTGTATATATCAGTATATTCCTGTACATCTGTATACATCGGTATATCTGTACATGTATATATCATTATATCTGTATATATCTTTATACATGTATATGTGTATAGATATATGTATAGACGTATTTGCAGACACGGACGCTGTGGTGCTTTATACGATATTACCACTTCCACCTCGCAGGCAACAGAAACGACATACTTTTTTTGGGGCAAGAGGGGGGTGGCCCCCCGACCGTTTTGGGTGAAAAACACGAAAGCAGGGAGGTTCGGGGGGGGGGGGGGGGGGGGGGGGGGGGGGGCGGCGCAGCCCGCCTATCCATATACCTGGATCGTTGAAGTTATTTCATATTCAGCTGAAAGTCATTAGTCTACATGTTGGCCTTGTGCCTGAGTTGTTTCGCGTATTGCCTGTTCCCTTGGAAATGCAATGTTCGAAGCCAAAACAACAAAGTAAGCCTTTGGATGCGTTTGTTTCGACCTATGTTACAGTATTCTTCATCTTGGTTACAGTATTCGCTGCTTTGGAATGGCAACGTTTTCATGTGGTTATTTCGCTTCGAGTACTTATTCTCCACCCTGCGACGACATCCGCATTGAGGAAGACGCTGCGTGAAGCAGGGTTACAATTCCAAACTGGCTATATACACCACGAATTTTCCTCCGATCCAGGATGCACACATGCTACGACGATCTATATGTCCTTCCCTTGATACAATGGCTACAGATATATGCCATGATTCCGCAAATCCAGATCTGTTCGGATTCCTTTTTTATTCCTTGCACTGGCAAGTGTTGTACGGCTCAATGCCACACATATCTTTTCACTCCGCAGATGAATGCAGTTTACAAACCAGTCCTCAGACTGTAACAGTTTCTTCGTTTTCTTTGTATAGTGTATAGTCGGATCACATGTCTCGTAGATAAGACGGTGTGAAAATCACCCTGTGTTACCCTACTTTGTATAGCGCCGAGTCCGTGTGATCCTGTACTTGTTATCCTTTTGTTCTTTCTTTTCGTGTAGATCCTTAAGACCCTCCCTTAATACAAGGGTGTAGGTTCAGTGTCGTTTTCTTGGGTTCACTCTTTGATATCGCAGGCCTTGGGCCCATAGCCCTGTTGTCCAAAAAGCGCTACGCAGGAATTGCTCCTCACGGATCCCATCTCAAAACCCTTAAGCCCTAAACCTGCAAACCAAAACCTTAAAATTCAAAACTCCAAGCTCGTAAAACCCTGAGCCCTAAACCCTAGAAAACCCTGATGCCATCATCCTAAACCCAAAACCAATCCACAGCCACACCACAGCGGGGGGGGATGGATGGGGGCCAGGGGCTCGCCGGGGCGCAACTACATCAAAAAAAGAGTGTCAATAAATAGACAAATAAGTAAATACAAAAATAAGAATAAATAAATAAGTAAACAAATACATAAATAGCATATGCCACCGCATATATGTTTCTATACATATACTCATATAATATACATATTTACAAGCGTAGTCATATCTAAAGGCATCAGTATATGCGCATACACATAAGAAAGTATGCATATGTTACCCCCCTCCTCGCACGCCTACCCGCTGCTTCTTTGCGTGCAGTGTGGATCGGTGGCCCCTGGAGATCTCGAAGTCTTTGATTTTTTGTTTGTTTTGGTACCCCTTGCGTTTTTGGCTGCCACCGCTTGAGGAGGTACCCCTAAACACCACTTAAAATTTTTCACCGGACCACCCGGCCAATATCGATGTGTTTAGACCTCTGAGCCCGGAAACCTCCGCTAATTCTCCGCTAATTGAAGCAGCCCTCGGACCGGGACCCCGGTTCCCGCCCGCGCATGATACGTTTACATTAGGGGACAAGCTCTCCAGCGTGAGAAACCCCCATCCAGATCCACTTATAGCGTTTTGCGTTATTGGAATCACAGTAGCTGGACTGGGGACTCGTCATGGAGAGAGTCCACGTGACGCTACGATCGCTCGTGAGTGGTTTTTGCTCTGTTTTTTTCCGAGCAAGGGGTGCCTTCGTAGAATGCTTGAACTTCTGAGGTTGGCCTTGACCAGTTGAAGCAGAAGCTGTCCGCAGTCAAATCCAAGGTCGGCAGCTTAATGCCAAGAGGGGAAACAAAACGCATTTCTTTCGTGTCAACAGCTAGGTATCTTACTTTTGTACCTTTTCGAGGGTTTAAATCTTGCTCTAGCATCCAAGGTTCAGACAGTGCAGGCTTCGGAACGTTGTATTGCGCAGTTGTTGGACGCGCCTCTTGAAGCTCCTTGAAAAGATATGGCAAGATGCAGGCCAAGTCTGCTCATGATGCCATTGGTGCTGCGCTGTCGAAGGTGAGGGACAAGGCTCGTTCCTTGTCAATAGCGAGAGCTGGCTCGTACCACCGTGAACGCACCAGGGCGATACCTGAAATTCATGTCAAGTGCGTCTATATTGTTCGCATTGACTTCGTGGCACATGCGTTAGACAAACTTACAGAAAAGAGCGACACATCTGTCAAGCTCCTTGGATTTCTGATTCCAGAACCAACCGCCAGTCCAATGGCGCTGCTCATGCGCCTATGCACATGTAGGATAAGCTCTTCCTTTCAATACTTTCATGTAGAGTCGCACACAACACCAAACGCAACATGTGCGCTCCGGGGATACGCTCTTGGTGAATCGCTCGGGTAGTGCGGTTGGAAGCAGCTTCCTACTTGCCCTGTACGAGCCGGAAATGGCAAAAAGTACAGAAACAATCTTCTAATCACGCGTAGTGATGAACTTCCATTTGCTGGTTTCGCAACATGTGGCAGCTGCGGGAAGACTCGGGAAGACTGCTGTTTTATATCCTCAGTCCTTTGATGTTTTTCGCATTCCCTGGAGATGTCAGTCCTTCATCTTGTTAGTGGTCTCGAATCGGGAGATCAATCGGCAATAGAGATCATTGTAGTTTCCGCTTCTCAATGCATTCAATGCATGGCCCTAGTTTTGAAGAGTGGTTCAAGTTCCCCTTCGGCAGGAGACCAGCGCTGATGTGGGGTTCCTGGCCGTCCCACTTGCGACTGACGTGAGTCTCGGGCCGTCGACAGGCGCTCATGCTCCGGGCATGCATGGCTGGTATAATATGACTGAATCATTGCCCCTACAGCACGCGCCGCTCAGCACGCGCCGCTTCGGCTCTGTAGGGTACATTGAGACAGGAAGTCCCTGCCCCTACGCACACCTTGAAATCCTACCCAAACTTCAAAGGCAGCCGCGAACTCTGAAATCATTAGGCGTCGATGTTTTGGTATGCGGGCCTTGCTGTTTACTGTTCAGAAAAAATGGCTACCACCCTGTACCACCCAATAGTCCTGCTCGAATTAACCTCAGGCCAGGGCTGGGGAGCTTAAGCGAGCACGACAAGCGTCGGTGCAGAGACCGCTTTATCCTTGTACAAACCTTCTCACTTCCCGCTATCCAGGGCTGTTTTCGCTTGTGCGGTCGTGCGCTCGTGCGCTCCTGCGCTCCTGCGCTCTTGCGCTTGTGCGCTTGTGCTTCACTTGCCCAGTGATAAAGCAGTCCAATGACCCAAGACTCAACGTGTGCCACACAAATCGTGTGGGGCGACCCACCCAGCCAGTACGACCTTCGCCAGGCAGACTCGCCATGCCGACAGGCAATGACCAGGCCCATCGCAGCATGCCTCCAAATTCCTCGACATTTTAGCCGCAACGTTGACCGCGCCAGGCGACAAGCAAGGAAGCAGCTGCCTCCTGTGCTGTGCATCCCACAAGCCTTTTGGCCTGGTTGCCAAGTGATCTTTTCTTGAAGCATCTTGAAGCAACGTGCCTGTAGACAAGTGTCTGGTCAAGGCAGCCTGCAGCACCCTGAATGAACCTGGAGCTCCATTTGCGCCTTGAAGTGCAAGATAGTGCAAGCAATCTCAAGCAAAGCGGCGATGTGTACTTGTGTCAATATTGTGCCAGGTGCCACAGCTGGCTGGTTCATCGATCGGCGTATTTCCAGCATGCGTCCCGTCTTTTGCAGTCCATGAGAGTGCAGAGAGCGCATCAGACAAAAGTATAGCTCACTCAGGGCGGCTTACCGGCCACGCCGGCCCCGCCGGCCCCGCCACCTCCGCCTGGCCCGCCGGCCCCGCCCGGCCCGCCGGCGCCTCCGACTCTGCAGGCCAGGTCAGCCAATATGCATAGTACAAGCAGCTGTCAGGAGAGCAGAGCGTGATAGAGTGCGCATCATGTCAACGCATATACACCTCTCGTGATTCTGCTTTGATTGTCCTGGTCAGCCATGGAGGTGCCATCTTTGGCTGTAACAAGCGCGGCACCGACGAATGCAGATCAAGGGTTCCAGCCACAAACAGTTCTGTTCTGAGAATGTCGGGATGTTTTCTTATGCTGATTTCGATGTCAAGCAGCAAAAAATAGGCATGGCCATTCAAAACGGCTAGTCAATGCTATAGCACTATCTTCCTGACATCGAGGCCGGCCCGGGCTTTGCACTTCCGACATCAGCTCAGGCAATTCCTTGCAATCTTGCCATTGTCGAGATCTTGCAACACGCCGGGCTTAGCCACACGTCATCGCACGCCCAGCGCTTGGCGTCGTTCAAATTTGCGGATCTTTGCGAGGCTGCCGGAGCTGTCGCGGAGGACTGATGCGTTATCTGGCTAGTAAAGTGTTGACTGTGCAATCGGCATGTGCAGGCCTGGTCGTGTCTGATGCAGGTTTCTGAGTCTTGCAGGACCCGGCATTGAACGGATCGTCTCTGTCAATCCAACAGCAGCTGTTGTACATGAAGCAGTCGCCTGTCTCAATCAGCCTTGTCTATATGTTGCCGACTGCCCATGGCTGGCTGGCTGGCTTTACATGGTTTTACACTCTGCTCAGTTGCTCCCCCGACGCGCATCTTAACCGGGATAGGGTCAAGCAAAGTTAAACCAAGATTTAAGAAATAAAGATCAACAAGCCATCGTCAAAACATATCAAAGCAGACGCTGCATTGTCTCTTGGCTTCTTGGCTTCCCGGCGGTGGCTTTGGTGCTTCCTGGCTTCTTGCCGTCTTGGTTTCGCGATCTCTTGCGCTGAGAAAATGATGCGGAACCCTATATAAGGCCCGAAGCCACAACCCGAAACGTCGTCGTCGTTCGTCGTCGTCGTCGTCGGCATCGTCGTCGTCGTCGTCGTCGTCGTCGGCGTCGGCGTCGGCGTCGGCGTCGGCGTCGGCGTCGGCGTCGTCGCCGTCGCCGTCGCCGCCGTCACCGTCGCTGCCGCCGCCGCCACCCGCCGCCGCCGCCGCCGCCGTCGTCGTCGTCGTCGTGCTACGCTTCGTACTGGGCGAGTTTTAACGCGCGTCGCTCGGTGTAATTGCACATCGATCGGCCTCCACACTGGGGTCTTGCAATTCGGCACTGATCCTAGCTGTCCAGTTTTCAGCCTATGCAGCGTGTCTGGCATGCAAACCGCCCCATGCCCATGGTCGGAAGAAGCGCCTGCGTCAAATCTCCACATTGGGGTTTGGCATTTTGGAACCAGACCTGGCACTGATCCAAGCTGCCACAACGGCTTCAAGTTCGTTTAAGGCAGTTGGCAGGACGTTTCCGTGCTAGCTGGTCTAGTACGCTGCTGCTGCTGCTGCTGCTGCTTACTGCTACTGCTGCTGCTACTTCTACTGCTACTCCTGCTGGTAGTAGTAGTAGTCGTAGTAGTAGTAGTAGTAGTAGTAGTAGTAGTAGTAGTAGTAGTAGTAGTAGTAGTAGTAGTAGTAGTAGTACACGACTACTACTACTGTACTAGTACTACTAATAGTACTAGTACTATTACTAGTACTAGTACAGACTACTACTACTACTACCTACTACTACTAACTCTACTACTACTACTACTACTACCACTACTACCACTACTACTACTACTACTACTACTACTACTACTCACTACTACTACTACGACTACTACTACTACTACACTACTACTACTACTACTACTACTACTACTACTACTAGTACTACTAGTACTACTACTTGCTGCTGCTACTACTACTACTACTACTACTACTACTACTACTACTACTACTACTACTACTACTAGTACTACTAGTACTACTAGTCTTGCTGCTGCTACTACTACTACTACTACTACTACTACTACTACTACTACTACTACTACTACTACTACTACTACTACTACTGCCACCACCATGCTTCCTTCCCATAGGCAGGCAGTCCGTGAGAACCGCATGAACCTTTTCCAACCCCATCAGGCGAGCACTGGAACCCCCCAGTGTGAAGCCATGCACAGCTTGCTTCCAGGATAACCGTGTCATTACCCCTGCAATGCTGGCTTCAACAATATCGCGCCACCAGTGGGCATTACTTCAACACCTTATGAACCCTTCCCCAACCCCATCATGCGATCCCCCGCCCTCCCCCGTTCTTCTCAGCCGTGCAAAGCTTGCTTCAAAGACTATCGCGCCATCAGCAGACAGTTCGCGAGAACGCGGGTTGCGCCTCTTCGCTCTCTTAAAGCCTTGCAAAGCTTGCTTCGCAGAATATCCCGCCATCACTAGAGATTCCTTCACAACACTTCACAACCGACAAACCTTTCCAAACCCATCATTGGAGCATGGTGTTTGTGCTTGCAAATCACCCAGGATTGCTCCCTCCAAATCACCCGCCTTATAAGCCGTGCAAAGCATGCTTCAAAGAGTATCCTACCATCAGCATGCATTCCTTTAAAACCTCATAAATCCTTTCCAAGCATCATGTGAGAACGGTTCTTGCAAGTGGTGGGGGTGGGCCCGACCCCCGTGCGAAGCTTGCTTCAGGGAGTATCGCGCCACAGCAGACGTTCTTTCATTTCTTTCAAAGCCGTATGAATACTTTCCAAACACATGATACGCTCACAGTGTTTGCAAGCGGACTACCAGCGCTGACTTTTTTACAATCGGAGGTCGATGAACTGCGCTGCTACTGCTATTGGCGTTTTTGATACGGTTTTTGTTTTTGATCCCTGGGTTTGTGTTTTTTGTTGATCCTTTTGTTTGATCCGTTACCCCCTCATCTCAACCATTGTGTTCCGTCAACATTTTTGATCTTTCTTATAACATAGGGTTGCATCGTGCGTTGCAATTGTTATGTCTTCTTACAACCTAAGACGCCCTGCAGGTATCAGCAGATGTTGGTGAATGGATACGACGGAACGATGCAGCCTGGGACGATCATTGGGGTGCTTTCGGAGCCTCTTTTTTCGCATGTGCCCGGCGTGTCGAAGCGGCCCTCCTCATGTACAGGTTCGGTGTTTTTTTGGAAAACCCAACTTGGACCCACCTTCTAGCCCAGAGCAGTATGTATACAGTTCAAGGTCTCAAAAGGTCGCATGCCTCCAAGACAGATCTAGATACAAAGGTACATGCATGAACAATATTCGTGTACAGACCCAATAAGAGAGTGCACGCATGTACTTGTACTGGCTATCAGCGAAGCTGTCGGAGGCACACGGCAAGCATGTTTGCAAAATTGATACGAGCATCCAGCGACAGCAGCTTCACAGGTCAGCTGCAACACCGTCGACATCTTCGTACCCCAGCAGTCTTCCTGGCTTCCAAAGCAACTTGGTTGTTGTCTGGGTCTTTTGCATGTCCACCGTAGCATAGTATGGAAGACCGCTTTGCTGAGGGAACCTGCCACAACACTTCATTAGTGGACCTAGCAGACCTGCTGAGCGTTCCGATTCTTCGTGAGTTCTTCCGATGTCTGAGGTAGCACGGTTGATGCAGGCAAGGCCCTGGCCGAGCTGAATTCACTGGAGGAGCGAGTGCGAGAAGCGGAGGACAAGGTGAAGCGAGCGGCTGCACAGCCGCTCGGACCATTCGGAGTCGCTCGGAGTCTCGGACTGGTCTCTAGTTCCAACGGCGGACACCTGGCACAGCAGCAATGTGCCACCGGCACAAACGCTATCTGCCACGGAGTCTGGGGCCATGAATCGAAGCCGTCCCCCGAAGCCTTCTCATGCCTTGTACATGAGTTGTAGATATTTGTAGACGCTTCATCCCAGCCTTCCCTGAAGCGACTTTTGGCAGCGGAAAGGGCTCACCAAGTGTACCCATGTGCCTTGGGAAGCTGAGTCATGTTGTTTGGATAACCTCCAGTAACTCCAGTACAGGTTGAGCGGATGCTGTTGGTCCAAAGGCTGGCGTGAACAAAAACTAACACTAACGTACGCGACTTGTAGGCTCGCGGACAGCTTGCACGTGTTCTCGTTGACCGCGCTGGTGTGCGCTGCAAGGTCGCATCACTATGTCGGCTTCATCTCCAAGTTTGATACCATGAAGGGCTATGGCTTCGTCTCATGCGCGGAAACCTTCAAGCGCTTCGGTCGCGACATCTTCATCGACCGCGAGTCATATCAGGCAGGCTTGAGTAGGTGACGGTTGATCGCTGCCTCCGGCATTGAGCCGACGGACTGCAGTGATTGCAGCATGGGATCAGATCCTGCTCCGGTTTCTGATTAGATTGATTAGGCTTCCTTTATCGGCAGAGGTAAATTTGGTGATCTGCCTGATGGTAGATACGGAGACCTGCCCATGTAGAAGCTCGCGCTGCTTATTAAACTCTGGACCAAACAAACCAAAACCGTCTTACTCATGTGTTCCTTACACTAAATCAAACTCAGGAGTCCAATCGGATTGCAAGCGTATGTCAGATATGTCAGGAGCCGTCTGCCATGTCAGTTTGGCTCGAAGACCGCAAGTCACGAAATCTAGCGCCTTGGAGCTTGCGAGAGTTGTCGTTTACAACCGTTCTCTCCAGTGTTCAGGTGGGTCAACAACCGACCCCAAACATTAACGCGAACAATCGAGCAGCATTTGCATATGCTCGAAACATGCATTGTCAAGCCAGAGAAACCTGTAGTATCATGATAAGCCGGCAGACATTCTTCGCCACTCGAGTTTTTGACGTTTCGTACTGAGGCTCTGAAAGTGGGGTTTATAGCTCTACGATAGACGAGGGCCCGACCTGGTTGCGCTGGCCGCGTGCTGCGCCGGTGTGTGTCTAGCTTTCGTAGCCAAGCTCTCCAGTTAGCCCTCAGGCTCGAGAGGGTGTAACCATCGATCTTTGAAACCTGTCATTCGGTTGACTTGCCTCCCTTCATGGTTTTCAGATGGGCCGCGCACAGTGCTTCATCCACTTTCATTTGGCTTTCGTGGCTCCCCAAATTGCCAAAAAAGGGGTTGTGAGATGGGTGTGCCGCGAGGATCTACTCCCTTGGCTCCCTTCATGGCCCCCTTGATGGTTCTTGTGCTGTGGTCAGATGAGTCTCTGAGTGGGCAGTGGTGCTTGATTCATGCTTTCATTTGGCTCTCTTCATGGCTCCCTCTTTGGGTCATTGTCAGATGGGTAGTGCCCCGCGGTGCTTATCAATGGCTCCCGCTTGGCTCCCTTCACGCCTCCCTATTTGGGCAGCGCTCACACAATCCTCCCATTTGGCTTTGTTCGGCCTCTGTGGTCCATGTCTCCAATTTTGCTCCATTCATTCATTGCTTCTCTCTGGGCTGCGATCAAATGGGCTAAGCATCCCAGTTTGCCCAAAAAGAACACAAAATCAGAGTGAGACCATGACGAGTCAGATTGAGGATCGCAGAAGGGTGTATGTTGTCCAGGGGGCAAGAATTGGCGACACCGTGGTCTTTTCTGTCGGCTTCAACAAGAAGGGTGAGGCCTTCACAGCAGCAGTCCATGAGCCATTCTTGTGTGGTTTGCAAATTGTCGGAGGTGCGTGCGTGCGACGTGCAAAAGCTGAATGAGGTGACCAGGCTCAAGCAGGACCCCGTGGTTGTCAGCTTTCATTGCGGCCGTTCGCGCAACATGCAGCATACACCCTGTGTCTAGGTATTGGTTTCAATTCTTGTTCGATGTCAGGAGTTGCAGCAGAAGAAACAGGCTTACATGACCAGCGTTTCCAGGCAAGGCCTTGCGCGCAGTGTCAGTCGTCATTGATTCCGCATGAGTGCAGTTATCTCGGAAGAGTGGGTGTGCCATTGTTTGATATATTTGTTGTCCCAGCCGCAATCGCCCGTGTTAGATGAAGACTGCGGTGTTTGTCTTCTCAATCACGCCGGTTTCATTACACGGTCACAAACACAAACGTGGACAAATTGTGAACATTCACCGGGGGTTGGTGGCTGGCGTGAAGCTATCATGTTTGTTTGTTTGGCTGTAAACGCTTGCGCGCGCCGCCTCGGCCCAAGCCATGGGATTTGCATGATTGTGGTTCAAGCGGTGCACCTCGGAGTTCGGACGGAAAGCGGTCAACCGAAACCTTGAACCCGCAGCATATGTGAGCTTGGGGACGCATAGGGGACCCTGAAGCCCTGTTTGCCTTAATTCACAGCAAACGCTTGCTCTCTTCAGCAGGCGTTGCAAGACCTTCAGTGCAGTTGTTGTCTGTGCTCGAGTGCTTGTTGCCAAGTGAGGCTTGAGCGGGTAAGGTGGTGTGGGAGCCGCAGAAGTCAAGATGGCCAGATCCTGGTATGCTTGTTCCAGACGCTTGTCGGCCGGAGCCGAGGCGAGTCCATCTTGAACGGACACTTAAAGTTTAGAGGCACAAGAAGCGCAGCCTAAAGGCCCTAAACCCGAGGTCTGGCATGAATGTCCAGTCTGCGCTCGAGCTCATTCAGGGCAAAAGTCGGCTTCTCAGTGCGTCAGGCCGTGGAGCCCTGAATCGGCCGTTTGATATCTGAAGCAGTAGACAAGCAGTAGACAAGCAGAGAAGTTGCAGAAGCTCCAAATTGAGCCATTGTGTCGTGTTAGTCTTGTTGACATGGTACCGGTATGCGGAAAGCCGTTGGTATACTGCTGGCTCCATGTACATTTTTCCTGGTACACTGTCTGCCTGATGCTGATTTTTTCTATTTGATACATTTGCTCTAAGTACTGCTGAGATACGGCTGAGAAGATTTGAGATAGTCCCCGTGCCGTCTTTCGAGGACCGGCGCCCGGAGACCCTGACGCGCCAAGCTTGAAACGCTTCGCGGCGTAGCGGAGCGGTATCTGAGGTATTCTGAGGTAGTACTAGTGACAGCTAGTTAGCTGAGCTGCAATGACTGCATGGGAGCGATTGCAATGAGCGAGTTTACTACAAACTTTCACGGATCGCGAACTACGAAAAAACATGATGTGATGTGCTTTTGTAAACGCATCAGTAGATGGCCTGGGTCTCATGGTTGTAGGCTGACTGTCGATTGGGCTGGATGCAGAAATGGCCTTCTGCTGAGAATCTGCACTTGCGGTTCCTTTGGCCGAATGCCTGAATGCATCTGACAGTTCACTACGCCATCTGCAGGGTACAGGCTCAGCTCGGTGGGACTCCGCGGCCCGGGCAGGTGCTTCTCGCAGACGATGGCCTTCGTGAAGGTCCTGAAGAATGCGGCCTACTTCAAGAGGTTCCAAGTCGCAAAGCGGCGCCGCCGAGAAGGCAAGACAGACTACCATGCTCGCCGCAAGATGGTCCGGCAGGACAAGAACAAGTTCAACAACCGCAAGTACCGGCTCGTTGTTCGCTTCACGAACAAGCGTTGTATCTGCCAATGTGTATATGCCACTCTCCGAGGCGACATTGTTGTTGCTGCTGCCGCATCAAACGAGCTCGTCCATTTCGGAATCGTAGCTGGGCACAAGAACTATGCTGCCGCTTACGCGACAGGGCTGCTTCTGGCACGCCGTGTGTTGAAGAAGTTTGGCTTGGATGAGAAGTTCAAGGGCAAGGAGGAACTGGATGGCGAAGACTACCACATTGAGGATGAAGACAACGATCAGCGACCCTTCAAGTGCATCTTGGATGTTGGGATTCGCCGAACTTGCGTTGGACATCGCATGTGGGGAGCTCTTAAGGGGGCTGTGGATGGCGGCCTACATGTTCCCCACAGCACGAAGAACTTCCCCGGCTTCAAAGCAGCCGATGAGAAGGGCGGCGAGTCCGAGTACGATGCTGAAGCGCACAAGGAGAAGATCTTCGGAAACCATGCCCCGTGCTCGGAGTGACTGTGGTGGCGGAGCATTCGCAGAGTATTAGCGGAGTTTTTTGTTTCGCTAAAGCTAACCTAACGTCTGTTGCGAGGTGAAGGAGTACATGGAAATGCTGCAAGAGGAGGATCCGACAAAGTACGAGGCGCACTTTGCCAAGTACATTGAGGCAGGCATTGATGCAGAGAAGATGGAGGACGCTGAAGCTGAAGCTGGAGTCATATGGCCAGCCAGTGCTAGCCATGTGAACATGTGACATTGTGCTACCTGTCATTTCCATACATTTCCTCTCTTTGTTAGTTGCTGAGTCCAGGACATGTACACAGAAGCACATGAGAAGATCCGCGAGGATCCAGAAGGTGAGAAGGCGGAGAAGAAGGACTGGTAGAATGCAATGTGACTGCTAGTCCTTCATCTTTGCCTGTCGGCATCGGCTGAGGTAGGATGCAACTAGCTTGCCTGAAGGACATCACGTACGAGAAAGACGGTGATACAATGAAGGTCGCACGATCGACGCAATGGCATTTGCAACACTTTTGCAACCCTGTGGATTCAAATGCTGCAGGCATCAGATGGCACTGAGCACACCCGCTTTCACAAGATCACTCTGGAGAAGCGGCGTGAGAAGGTTCACGCCTCTGCCAGAAGCAGTGAACTTTCTTGCGCAGGATCGAGTGTCTAAGGTTGCTGCCAAGATTGCAGCAGCGCAGGTGGGTGGACGCGTGCAGAGTCATAATGGACTTCCAAACCCTTCCGTATTGATTTGTTTGATTAGTGTCAGGCGAAAATGATGGAAGAGTGAAGTGAAGAGTGATGGAGCACCTGCAGCAAGGAGTCCACTGCGAACTGTGAGCACAAAGAAGCGCAGTTGCTGGTCTTGCGAAGGACGTGCTTTGCAGGTCGCGTGCCATGCATTCATGCTGTGGATCAGCACTCTTCATGCCCTGTCAGTATTTGCAGGAACACAGGCATGTCCATGCAACCACATTGCCTACGTAAGCGCCCTTGTCACAAGTCAACACCCCTACGTCACATGCAACTCAACGCACTTAACCAGCACACTGCTTCAGACAAGCCAGCAAGTAGCTTTGCAGTAGATGCTCTTGTTAATGGCTGCTGGCGCATGACCGAAGGCAGCCAGATTGACAAGGTCAAGACGTTGTGAACACTGCACTATTTTGCATTCGAAGTTTGCGCTCTAATCTTGCATGGCCGCAGCTGCAGGCCGTCACAAAGCCTTGCGTCTTTGATGACCCGGCAGTGTGACCAAACTGATTCAAAGGCTGATGTGACTCTCCTCATCTCTCCTCCTGCCCCGTTGGCATTTCTGCTGAGGGATTATTGCTGATATTGCTGTGAGGAAGAGGTCGAGGCAGACGATGGTGAACAGAAGTTGGAACCCTACGAAGAATTCAGCTGATTGTAAAGTCTTGGCGCCACCATGCTCAGTGAGGTGGAAGGTCGGTGATCGGGTGTACGCGCTATGGGCAGGTAATAGCTGCTACTATGCACTGGTCTCAGCAAGGCGGTTGGTCTGTTGGCATTTGTGCTGAAGGACAGGATATTGTAGTGGCATTCATGGCTGAGGTGTGCACCATAGCAGAGGCGAGCTGCTACTGTGAATCTCGTTGGGTCTTTGAACAGTTTTGAACTGAATCTGACGAGGATTGCCTCCATTACACCTGGCTGGAATTTGGGGTTCCGTTGTAGATCCACTCATGTTGCTTTTTCAATGTCATGAAGTTCGCTACACCGCAGCCGCCCACATTCTGCATGATGGCAGCTTCACTGGCATGTTGCGTGTTAAAGTCTTTTTGTTGGAGGTCCGCGAAAAGGACAGGAAGGTGGTGGTCACGTGGGATGATGCTGCTCGATGGCACTATAGGAAATAGCACATCGGCGTCGTGTAGTTCCGTGTAGCCGAGTAAGCGATGAGCAACAACATCGCTTGCTCCTTGCCAAGGCCGACACGTCACACCGCACGGTCAGCTTCGACCAGGTGGCGTTGGGTGGTCGCACAATGTCACACACGTCACACGTGTGTATTGGCATCTTGCGGTCTGGTGCCAGGTCATGCGCCCTTCTGACGAAACGACCGCCTGGAGTAAATCAAGGTCCTGTCCCCAAAAGCAAGCGCCCGATGGCTATACTGCCAGATTGGTTCGTGTACTGCAGGATTGAGCGACGGGCTACCGTCCGGCAGACGGAGCAAAAGGGACGATGTCTGTTCACCAACGAGGCTGTTGTCATCTGTCCGTGCAATCGTGGACCTCATATGCAAAATGGAGAGCAATGTAGCCCTGTATATATATATATATATATAATATATATATATACATATATGTATGCACATGCAACGGCATATGCATGTGCATATACATATATATATATATATATATATGCATATGCATATTATGAATAAATAAATATTTAAATGAAGTTGGTGACGCAAATAGACTCGCGTACTGTGTACTCGTTTGCAACACAAGCAAGTACCTCGTAAGCATCGCCATTCAATTCTCATGGGGGGGGGGGGGTGTTCATCAATGTTCTTGCATCGGTTCACCACCACGACACTGCATACATTTCTCGAAATTTCCTGGGACTGAAAAGTGTTTTTTCCTAGATTTGCTTCAATTTGCTTCTGCACCTGCGCGCAGCATGAGTTGCCGAGAGGCCTGCGAGCCAGGCCAGGTGGTTTTCGTGGAGAGGCCGCTTCTTGTTGCCTTGCCAGGCTGGGGGGTGTCTGTGCAAGCACACCCTGAACTATCCTGAACTACCATAATGGCCTCCACGATTCTGCCTGCTGTCCTTTGTCCTACTCAAATTTGCACTGGCATCAAGTTCCAAAATTATCCAAGCCCACGACTTGGCAGCTGTTGCGCCCAAGCTTTGGGAGTGCCTTCAGAAGCTTCATGGAGCCCCTGCCTTAGCTGAGCAGAGCATAGCAGAGCTGGAGATGATGCAGATCTTCATCCATCAATTGTCTCTGCTGTGGCCTGACACCACACACGTGTGTGTGTACACAGGCAGACGCATCCTGGAAATACCTCACAACCATGGGAAAACGACAACTTCCGAATTTCATGCCGGGCATGCATGCCCGTGCCGACAAACTACAGGCAAAGGTTGTACTTGCATTAGATCGCACCTGGGTGTCCGAGGACGCAGCGGGTGGATCAGCGCAAAGTCATGACCTTTTCGCTTTCCAGGGAAAAGGTTTTCACGTTGGGACCTTTCTCAATTTTAACACGTCTGTGCGAAGCAGGTTTGCAGGCCTGTGAGCGCAAAGGCACATGCATCGGAAGCTGAGCTGTGCTTGCACTGAGCTATCTTGTAAAGTGTTGTGCATGTGACAGTTATGAGTGCGCACGCAATTGGTCAGCATCGCTTCTCACGAAGCCATTGAGTGTTTCCGGTTCACCAATCGCTTCTGGGCGCCCGCCAGCGGCGGACAGCCGAGCCTTCGTTTGGAGGTTCCTGAAGCTTTTCGGATTGATTCGGACCGTGCAAAAGGGCTTCCTCCCGATAAGACCTCTCTTAGTTTGGATCCTAAGTCTCCGAGAGGGCCAGCCAAGCGCAGACCTTTGAATTGAAGCGTACGTGTTGCAGTTTCAAGTTGGAGAGGGTGCAGTACATCGTGTGATGTTTTGAGAATTTTTCGCACAACGTCGATGTGGGTCGAAACGCAAATTTAGGTGAGGGTAAGCAGCAATGAACAATCTTTCTGACGTCAGCGCTCTGACAACACCGTTGGCAATCCAACTTCAAGCACGGACATGTGCGGACGCCCAGGCGCAGCCACTAAACCTGGGAACCGTGACGTTCCATTTTGCTGCACTTGTTTCGGTGCTGACGCTCGTCATAGGCTGAGATTTTTCTCCGTCCTATCAACAACCTTTGCTGGAGATATTTTCATGCTGATGCCCAGGATGCGGCTGACATCGGTGTAATTCGAGACAAATACGTGCCTGATCCAGATGAGGACTGTTGAATGCATGGTCATCCGAGCCTCCACATTGTACATTTTTTGTTCCCAGATTGTGCAAGCCAGCATGTGAAATTTGTCCTCGGCAGCAAGCAGCGTTCTTCAAGACCCACGAAACTTATCTGTTGGCATTCGTCTGGCCAGGAACCGAATGAGGATGTTACTAGAATCCTGCAAGCTCTTCAGGCCAGAAGGTCAAAGTGGTACTGTGCGTTGCCCAGTGCGCAAAAGTAAGATCAGAGCCAGGACGCGCCGTGCGAGTTAGCGTGGTCCCGCCTTGGTTTGCTTTTTCTGACATCCGTATATCTCCCACGTGCCTTGCCAGGAAAGAGCAAATATCTAAGCTGGATGGCAAAAGCTTTCAGAGGCTTGTTTCAGCTTGGCGCCATTGCCTTGGTATGGCCTTTTGCGAATGTTTGCGAGGGCGATGCGCTTGGTTAGCCAAATCGTGCCTGAGGTTACAATTCCTTCGGCCACCACAAAGAGGTGCCGCTAATTTATGTACTGCTGATGTGGCAATTCCTTGCTTGTCGCGTCACGTGTTGCTTTAGTCCAGCTGAGCAAACTAACGCTGGATCGAGGTTGAGCATTCTCGAACTCTTAACGACGGTCTCCCCAGTGCATACTCTTCATGCACGGTGTGATCTGTTCAAAGGATGGCCTGGTGCTCTACAACCGAATCTCAATGTGCCGGGCACCCGGAAGAAGGTGGCGGCCGTCCGGGAGTTTCGTTGCACCGTTGACAGTCAAAAGGTGCTCACTCTTGTGATCCGACGTGCTGTCATCGACTCAGATAGCCGTAAACCGGGACGTCGCAGTTGTGGTGGCTGTAAACGTTAGTGTGCAGATGAGGCTGGTCCTATGGAGATGAAGATGCATTTGTCCTTCGGAGCCGGTGCGGTTCTGGGTTGAAAGTTTAGTCTCTGTGGTGCTTCAGTGTTGAGAGCGCCGAGAGCACTTCAGCTTGGCTCAGAATGGCTTTGGACAAGGGCGACGAGCTGACAATCTCCTATTTGCAGGCTGCACAACGACTCCAACATACTTTGAACTGGCGACATGTAGTTTCCATCGGTGCCTTCCAGGATGAAGACCTTCTCAAAAGCACGGCTGTGCGACAGCAGAAGCTCCAGAATTGGCACATCTCTCAGACTCTGCTCAAGACTCTGCTCAAGACTCTGCTCAAGACTCTGCTCAAGACTCTGCTCAAGACTCTGCTCAGACTCCTCAAACCTCTTTTGGCGTGCTTGTCGTAATGGCGTGATGCGTATCTTGCAGAAGCTGTTGTGGAGTGGAAGGCAATGTTCCAAGGCGGCCTAGAGAGACAAGGAGGGAGAGAGACAGAGAGAGAGAGCGATCCCTCTTCGAGCGCACCAACGCAGTGGGGGGGCCAGCAACACCGACGACCGCACGGCAGCGTTGCCTGGGACAGAGGGACCAGGACAGGCCCGACAGGCCCGACAGGCCCGACGTGAAGAAGGGGGGCCCCACCTCTTTGATTCCTACGACTGGGGAAAATCGGGGGGGCACTACATCGTCGTCCGCGTCCACAAGAGAAGAACAGGCCAGCACAGTGGGTGGATCCGCAACTGGCTTGCAGCCGATGACCACAACGTCCTTAAATGGGGGGGGGCCGGTGTCGCAGGCGCCTGGGGGCACAAAGCCGACTACCAGACGCCCAGCTCGACGAGACAGAGGACACGGATGAAGGTGAGCCCTGCGAAGTGAAACCGGACAAGTGAACCCCGTTTAGTGGAAAGCCTTCCGGGGGCCCTTCCAAGTCTCTTCGCGGGGTAGAAGAGAGCGATCCCTAGCCCTCTCCAGGGGCAAGTATCACGTAGTATCCCACGCAGGCCAACCATTGGGGGAAGACTGTCTTGCAGGCAAGTGTAATACCTAGCCTTATGGGCTGTTTGTGGTGTTTTGACGAAATCTTCCCGAAGGGGGTCGCTGGTTTCACGCCGACATTGACACAAACTTGGGCGCGCCCTGCGCGCGGGGGGGTGCGACTGTGCCCCTCAAGCCCCGAAGAAGAAGAAGAAGAAGAAGAAGAAGAAGAAGAAGAAGAAGAAGAAGAAGAAGAAGAAGAAGAAGAAGAAGAAGAAGAAGAAGAAGAAGAAGAAGAAGAAGAAGAAGAAGAAGAAGACGAGAAAGTCGGGCAGCGCCGTTGTTGAGGGGTGTTGAGTGCAGCCATCTTGACGAGGAAGTTCACTTGCATGTGTCAGGGCCTCAGTTTCGTGCAACAGCGATGAGTCCTGTTTGTGGAATCGACGGGTGCTCGGTCACAAGCATCCGAGAACACTGAATGCTGCGAAGGCCCTCGCTGCTCCCTCAAGGTTGATGTGAATCCGACGATCTTTTGCTAAAGTGCAAAGTGTGCCAGGCTTGTTTGCGATGGCTTCGATGCCTTGCAATTCTTGACAGGTTGGACGTGGTGTGCGCTGCCAGCGTTGCCGAGTTGGGATACTCTACCCTCAGGCCAGCATCAAAATCGATTTGTTCAGCCCTTCGTTAGGAGAAGCTATTTGCGTGGTTATGGACAGTTTACGGTACAGTTAAATATAAATATGAAAATATAAATATAAACATAAATAGAAATAGAAATATAAATAGAAATAGAAAAGAAAAATATAAATATGAATATAAGGTATCCCCCCCTCAAAGATCCATGTTTTTCATACCCTTCTCATCCCATAAGAACTTTTACTCTTAAGAACAGTTTTAATCTTCAAGAATTCTCAGGAATTCTAAAGAATTAATCCTGAAGTTGAAGATCGAAGATTGAAGATTCCTGAAGATTTCTGAAGGGCTCTTGGGCGAAATCTTCAGTTTTCTCTTCTTAGACCACCAGAGTCTCCCAGGAATTTTCAATCTTCAATCTTCAATTTCAGGATTCATTCTTAAGATTGAGAATTCTTAGAACTAATCCTGAAATTGAAGATTGAAGATCTCTGCGGGAATCTTGGGAGAAATCTTCAGTTTACTTCTTAGACGGAAATCGAAGATTTTTCACCAGAGTCTCCCAGGAATCTTCAATCTTCAATTTCCGGAGTAATTCTTAAGAAATCTTAAGAATTTATAGAAGTTTAAACTGAGATTTCAAAGATTTTTCGCAAGAGTCCCCAAGGAATCTTCAATCTTCAATCTTCAGTTTCAGGATGAATTCAAAAGAATTCTTAAGAATTCTTCAAAAAATGCTCCTGGGATTGTAGACCAAAACCGAAGATTTTCCACAAGGGTCTCCCGGAAATCTTCAATCTTTACTCTTTAGTTTTAACTTTTAAGAGTGTTTGAGAGTTCTTAAGCATTTTTGAGAATTAATCCTGAATCAATAATTTCAAGAAACTTAATCCTGCTGCCATCTCTTTTCGGAGGTACGAGAAAACAACAAGAAACCACAAACTCGAATCCTGCAAAATCTCAAAAGGGTACCACCCCCCCCAGAAAAAGAAATAAAATAAGTAAAACTGAACTCTATACTAAACACTGTATCTTATCAAACGTATCTTAAGCCATCACGCCCCAATAAAGCAAAATTTGAACTCTATACTAACCGCTGTACCTTACTCGTAGCTAACATGAGGAAATGTCTAGCAATCATCCCGCGATAAGCAAAACCAGAATGCTACCGTACATCGATATAGTTTGTGTATATTTCGAATCCCATGAAGTACTGTAGTGAAAGGACATTTGCTGACAGTACTCTCGCGTCCCCGGGACGCAAGACCCACAACCATAGGCATAACCCCATGGGATTTAAGGTTGAGGGGGTTATGACTCAAGCCCTATAGTTCCTAGGATCGTATCGGTAATGCCCAAACCTTAAACCCTAAACTTTAAACCCTATAGGGTTCAATAGCTCAAAAACCAAAGGTCTGGGCATGTATACCTTCAGCTTGTTTAGGGTGAAAACTGTTGAACCTTTCGGAGCCCTAGAGGGTTTAGGGATCTGACCCTAAACGGTTCAGTGTTAAGGTCTTACAAACATAGATTTAAGGTCTAGGGATTTAAGCCCTTTAGGGTTATAAGGTTCTATCGCATAGGTAGGTAATGCACAAACCTTAAACCTAAACCTTTAAACTTTATAGGGTTCAAAGGTTCAGCAACCTAAGGTCTGGGCATGTATACCTTCAGCGCCTCTTTAGGGTTAAAATCTTTGAGCCTTTGAGAGCCCTACTATTAAACCTTAACTCTATAGCGTTTGAAGGTTAGGGTTTAGATGTGATTGCCGGCTTAGCTTTAAATGCTTACATCTTAAACCCTAAACCTGTCAACCTTAACCCGGTAGGGCTTAAAGATTAAGGCTTAATCATATAAGGTCTCGGGGCCTCTCTTTAAAACCCTAAACCCTTAACCGATAGGGTATAAGAGAATAAGCCTTCAAACAAAATCATGGAGCTCAGCGGAGCGGAAGGTAGGGCCGGCGGGGGGAGGGGGGGGGGGTTCAGAGGCCCTGGCTATGTTGGAGGGCCCCCCCCCCACCCCCCGTGTATAAGCAAACTTAATGCTTGTAAGCAATATGCTGTGTGACAGAAACTCTTTCCAATCAAGATTGAGTACGCAGATCACCAACCCATTGAGTACGCAGATCACCAACTCATATATACATGTATATGTGTGTAGATATCTATATATAGTTATTGTAACTGCCCAAACCTTACACCCTTAAGGTTTAAACTCTATGGGCTTAGGTTACAATGCCTTAATCTTAAGGCCTAAACCTTTAAAAAACCTTAACCCCGTAGGGTTTAGAGGTTAAGGGACTCAAGACTACAAGCATTCGGATGCGGTTCTTGGGGAGGGGGGAGGGAGGGCGAGCATACCTCATGAAACTATAGAGATGAGACACAAAACCATGGATCTTTTTTTGGGGGGGGGGGGGGGTCTAGCTATAAGGGGAAAAATCTAGATAGATATAAGTACAAATATAAATATTTTTATAAGTAAATAAATAAGCAGGAAATTACATGTAAGATCGGGTGGGGGATTTGGAGTGATGGGGTTGTGGTTTCTTTGTGGGTTCGTATCAGACAAGATGCACAGGGGGATCGTGTTGATGCCCCACAACACTATAGAGTTTGCGTGGGAATCTACTCCGTATGGAGGAATACCTTTATGACAGTAAGGGTTTACGGTTGCCGCTCCACAAAGCAGGGAACAGTGTACATAAATTATGCATGATAATGATGAATGATTGAGTAGGACACCTGTGTTTGAATTGATAGCTCTAGCGAGCCTTCTGCTCTTCGATTTGTTTATCTTGAACCTGTTGTACACATCCGTTGCCATTTTGGCACAGGCACCCGAATTTCTTCTCGATGGTTCCAACAACGGCGGTTTCGCGCCTTTCTTTTTTGGGAAACTCCTTACACCGGAGCCCCGTGTTTGTTTTCTGTGAGGTCATGGACTGGGATTATGTAACGTGTGGCCAACCCCGGACGTGTCTGTGTTTTCTGTGCTGTCGCACGCTGGTTATCTGCAAGCCCAGCCCGAAAGTGAGTGAATGGGTCCCGGGCCCGCGATCTCACGGCAAAAAAACACGCGCACTGTGTGGAAATCCGTGTGTTTTTTGCTGTTCGGTCGCGCGGTTCGAGGCCCGGCCAAGTGGGGGTGGAAGCGAGCGAGTCCCGCGACCGCGGGCCGCCGTAGGATTCAAGGGTCGGGTCGTGGTACAATAGGTCGGGGGTTCACATTATTCCGGGGTTGTGGTAACAGCGCCCCCTCGGTTCCAGGCAACCAACGCAAGCTTCGAGCTCTGCAGGGTTTGTGGCAGCTGTCCTCCATCAGAGGCCGTCCGAGCGTGGGTGTGCGAGCGCGCGTCACAACGTGGCTGGCGATTAGCATTAGGACTTACCAGCGGGTTCACAGGATGTTGCCATGCTCCTCCATATGGAGGAGGAGTCCAGTGCTCAGTGACGCATTGGAGGGGCGATGCTGACGGCCAACATCTTGTTTGTTGCAGGGTTGCAGCATTGTTGCAGGTATGTTCAGAGAGTCGACACTTTAGACAAGAAGGACTTGGAAGACGTTCAGCAAGTCTACCAGGCATGCAGACAGTCGTGGAGAATGCACGAGAGACTTTGCAGCCTGCATGTGTTGTAGTGAAGTGACTGGGCAGGCAGCTCTGGACATCTTTGAGAACCATTGGATTCTTTATGCCACTCGGGAGGGTCTAGCACATGCCGGCAAACAGCGGTTCGTTGATCTGCTCGCAAATCTTCAGTCGGAGTTCCAGGTCATGGACACCATCCTTTGGGAAGGCCACCGTCAGAAGAACGTGATGGATGCGATGGAGCATCAGTCACTTGGAACTTAGTTGGGGCACTTGTTCGTTTGGATGGATTGTCAGTGACTGTCACTGTGGCTGTCAGTGCACCGATGGTGCCGAGACTCGAGAGCCTTAAGGCGCCGCCGAATTGATTTCCACCAACACTACTACTTCAGGCCCAATGTTTTTCAAAAAGGAGTTGCAACCCTCACTCCTACTGCAGCTTTGTCAGGCCAACCTTCATCTTGGCGTGGTGTCATGAGGTGCCATCAGAGATTCGAAGCTGAATTGTGCCATGGTGACTGGGTTGCTCTGCCAGGAACTCGGCGATTGCATGATGGTGCAATTTCCAGCACGAAAGTGGCACATTGTCCAGGAGCCGTGCGTTAGTTCATTGGCTGGTCATGAAACCGTAGCCGACGAAACCAAGACGAAACTGATGTTTCTGTTGAGTTCGATTCCACCTGGTTGGGCTCGCTCCAAAACGGATTGCAGAAAATGAAGGTAGATGTTATTCAAAAAGATTTGAGAATCACCAGTATCAGCTCTCGGCTTTCGCAAATGCTTCGTTTTCGCTCGTTCCGGCTTTCCCACTCCCGTACACTCAAGTGGTCCCTTTCTGATATGAAGCAGCCGTGCACTAGGGGGAAGCTTTTGATGAAGGCGTCTCTTACTGCATTTACACTGGGATTCAGTGGTTCGCTGTATCTGACGTGTTGACTTGTAGTACAAGCTAAGTACTTGAATCTACGTTTCCGTGAGCCGGCTGGTTTTTCATCGATTTGTAGTCCAAGAGAAGTACTGGAATCGACAATTCCATGAGCCGGCTGGATATTCATTGATTTGTAGTACAAGCTTAGGTCTGGAATCGCTGTTTCCGTGAGCTGGCTGGTTGTATTGATTTGTGGTACAAGTTAAGTACTGGAATCGATGTTTCCGTGAGCCGGCTGGATTCTCATTGGTTTGTTAGTACACGCTTAGTACTGGAATCGACGTTTCCGTGCTTTGGTAGCTTGAAAACGCTCCGGGAATGCGGGCGGTGCACATGTTTTCATGGTGTTGTAGTAGGCCTTTGGGGAGCGGCGTTCAGTGCAGAATGGCATGTCTAACGTAGTTTTTCATCATATTCATGCCCCTCTGCGGGCGGCGTTTACCTGGGGGAGTGATTCCGCAGGGTCGCCTTCGACAACTTGATGGTCCCACGGCGTTCACTGGGGTTTAACACTCTTTGAACAAGTGGGGCCGCCTTTCCCAGCCGGGTGTACTTATCCGTACTTTACATGTTTTTGTCGTTACTGAAAGCTTCAAGTTGGCGGGGTTGCTATACTTGCGATGTTTTGCTACCTTACCTTTTGTCTTCAGCCGTCGCCGTGAATTCGTGAATGCTCCACGGCTTCTCCAAGACTCGGTCTTCCCCGCCATCCCCTGCAGAGCTTTATTCTTTTGGCTCGCCTTTCAGTGGATAGCTGCGGATAGCTCGTCTCCATGTCTATATCCAGTTTCCTTTCCAGGGCTCTAGTCGCTTGATACACTCATCTTCGTTGCTCGTTTCGGTTCGCAAATTCCCTTTGATCGCTCTCTCTCTCTCTCTCCCTCACTCTCTCTTCCTCTCGCTCCCTCTCCCTCTGTCCTTCCCGGCCTCCCTCACCCTCCTGCTCTCGCAACTGCTTGACACATGTGTCTGCCCAAGGCCACCACCATGTGTGTTTGATTTTGTATTTGCTGGCAGGAGTTTCAACGTGCCTACCAGATGCTTGCGGTCTTGTCGGCTGCTTGATCCCGCGCTGATGATGCGTTGGAAGATTTCCGCTATGTCTGGCCTTGCCAAGATGTGGGTCTACTCACCAATACACGGCGAGCCCCTACAACAAGCTGTGGCAGGCGTGCCACGTGACATGTTACTGTTACGGTCACATGTGATGGCCTTCAAGCAAAGTGGACTGTTGCGAAACCTGCTTCAAGGAACGGTTAGCTCACCAATGGACACCGGCAATACGGAAGTGTAAATTGCCATGCGTTGCAAAGGTCTCGAATGGAACTTCGAACTCAGCGGCCACCAACGGGACTACCGCAGGAGGCTAAGAAGTGAGCGGCGTGCCTTTGCCTTGACATGGAAAATGGACACGACGTACCTGGGCTGTGTCCGTCGGAGTGTGGCTTCATGTCGTGCTCGCCTCCCGAAGCCGGGATCGGCGGAATCTTTGTGTCTGAGGGGTCTTATGGTCTTGTGTCTCTTTATGTCGGTATCTCTTCATTTTTGCATGTATTTTGTTTATTTAAGGAGGCAGCAGCTTCCGAGTCCGGAAAGCCGCAGGCTCGGAGCTCGGAGATTCGCAGAGAGAGAGGCAAGCCAGCGAAGCCTGCCCAGGCACACATTTCACAAAAACTTGTACACCTGCGAATTTCAGTGGGGTCCTAACTCGACTGTACAAAATGGGTCGAAATCATTTCCTAGCAAGTTCTACATTCTAAAGACTATGTTGGACTTGCAGCAAGAAGTTGCCCTGCTACCTTGTGGCGTTGACACATTTGGCAGACGACGTGGCCCAAAGCACACCAGCTTTTTCGAAGATGGAGACCCCGACCCCTGTGATCCCTGAGAGTGTGGACGCTTTTGAGTACGTGAACTCAATAACGACTCCTGACTTCGTCGACATCGCGGCTCAGATCTTCGTTGTGGGAACTGGGGCTCGCTGGTCCTCCCGTGCCGCTGGATCGTTCGACAACAAGCAACCCTCTCTTCCCTGATGTGCACACCCTAGAGGGGCGAGACTGTTTTGGATGCAATTCTTTTGCGTCATTCGAGGGGAAGGCCAGGCATCCCTCCTTCCCGAGGCACATGCCCCCAAATCTCGGCAACCACATCCAATTACGTCGTGGCCAGGGAGGGAGGGCGGGATGTCAATAAATGGATGTCGTCACTTCACTGCCAATGAACGGCCGACCCAGGCAAAGCGCAAAGCCTGAACAAGCAACGCGGGTCAAGACAGTCAAACATGTGCTCACGGTAGGGAGAGGCACCGGCCATGAGCCCAATCTACCCAGACAAACCTTCTTAGCACCAGCATCCAGCCATATGACAGGAGGAAAACAATGTCAAGCATGTGTTGTCAGCTAAGAACACGGACACGGCGTGCTTGCACAGATTTCTGAACTGCTGCGTCGGTCAGGCATCGTGACTTAAAGTGAGTGGTGACAGGAGGGCACAATAGTAGAACCACGGGTATTTGCAAGTGACCATCGATGACCATCATGGAACCGTCAACATTGCAGGGAAACGGTTGCACGACCGCATCGGTAAATTCTTATGAAGAAGGACCTGTTTCTGCCTCTCTCACCCGTCACACTGCGATGCCTAGCGGGAAAAATGGCTGCGGACTTTTTTTGCCTCTTGAATTCGCCACATGGAGCGGCTTCGGTGAAGCATGTAGGCCTACTAAGTGGTTTCTTGACGATGGCTGCTTATGTTGCCCAAGCATCGTTCATTGATCAGCAGTTCCAGCATCCGCTTGCGTGCACGTGGTCGCTGTCTGATATCGAGACACATGTACCCATTGTGTAAGCATGGGTTGCATGGGTTGTTTGCGAAATTGCACTCGCAAAGTGCTTGAAACAAACCAGTCGCACACATCTGACATCTGCTCATAAGACTGACGCGCGTGCCTTCGCAGCCGACGCAGCTGGGCCGAGAGCTGACGGTTTGCACTTGCCTGGCACTTGAGCCCATGGTGCAAAGCAAACACAGATGCTTGCTGCACCGTGCCAAATGTTACCGTGGTATGGTGACGCCGGCGAGCTCAGCTCGGCCAGTAGAACATGTAGAACTCTTGTCCAGCTCAGATGTCTGAGCCGCGACCCCCGACCACGGCCAGTGAAACCAGCCGCCCTGCCCTTACTGAGCTGTTGCAGGTTTCCTATCATTGCGCATGTTGTAGATGCTTCACCAGGGCGCAGTGGACAGAGCGTGGGAAGCCGACAAAGCCGCTTAGATGGCAGGAATCAGGGAAAGTTTGAAGAGAAGTGTCAAAGAGAAGTATGAGAGCTTCATTTTAGCAGCTAGCAGAAAAGAGAGTGCTTCTCAAAGTGCCTTGCTTCAGGTCGAAAGAGCGCAACGGTGAGTATCCACTCACGGGCATCTGAGGCGGCAGTCGCATAGCCTTCATGTGGTGATTTTCCACATTCGACAATTGACACAGATGCGCGCGACATGAAATTGTAACAGCTGAAAGGCAAGGTCGGTTCACTTGGCAAGTTATTGTTGCGGTCGCTTTGATTCGCTTTGCAAACTGGGTTTTTCTCGCTGAGCTCCTGCTGCTGTTGAATCCGAGATCGTACCAAAAGCAGAATGCTGAAAATCGAGGGTAGTGCGACAGATGTGACACGGAAAATCGAGGGTAGTGTGACATGGGTAACCCTAGAATGTGTGCCCTAATGCTCTCTCCAAGCAAGGGGAGGGAGGAGTGGCAAACCCTGAGCGCGTACTAAGACTGTAATAGGGGGCAGCACGCTTAAACATCTTAAACCTGCCTCAACGGAACGAGGAGTGACAAACCCTGAACATCACTCGACCCTTAAAGGAGTTGGGAGTGGCCAGTCCGAAACCCCAAAAGGATTGGTCTGACCGATTTTGACCGATTGGTGTTGGTTGAGGGGAACAATTCTGTGCTCGAGTTGGACAAGTGACGCTTATAGAAGTTTCTAAAACAAGTGGCACGACAAACATGTGTAGGGGTTTCTCCATTCCGCACTACAACATTCCATGTAGGTATGACAGCCTTCTCCAGAATGATCTTTTCCAGAATGAACAAGTTGCTGCAGACACGCCAGGCTTCGCAACCTAGGAGGGCATGCTGCTTTCATGCTTTGACGTGTAGTGAGAATATATCCCGTTAAATTCTAACTTGCGCAAAACAATTGCTGCGGCCCTTGGCGATGTGAGTGGAATGTCGACGCGTGTGCAGTGACTCTTACTTCTCTCGGTCACATGTATCTGAGGATATACTTGCTGGAGATGAAGTGGGGTACCATCCGCCGCCAGCTGTCTGACCAAAATCTCGATAAGAAGAAGGATTCGTCTGCGAGTGAAGGCGCCAAAGAATGTCAGCCCGTCGCAGCGCATCCAACGAACTTCAGCTTCAAAACGACGGAGCAAGCACGAGCATGATCAAGCCTGGCATTGCTGGGGTAGGGGTCGCAGGGTCCTTTGTGGCCGCCTAACTGGTCGTTTCTTCCGGCCTTTGTTGGTCGCTGCGCCCGCCTCTATCAAACTTTCCTGAGCCCTCAAGCCTCGTCCTGAGCCGTAAAACCACAAGACTTTTTTTACTGGACCCTAAAGCCTCCGAAGCCCCGAGGCCTAGGAGTAGTGAACCGCGCATCGCAAGGCGCAACGCAGATCGCAACTCGTCCTCAAAGCGAAAAACTCGAAGAATGTGGGTACGGAGGACTGTTTTGGTGTGTCGCAGCGGCACGAATATCCGTGGTTGCGTAGATCGCAAATTACCTGAACTTGTTCAGCATATACAGTAGTTTTGCACTTTTTGAAGAGTCGTCGCAGATGACCTTCGTGTTGGTGGCTGGCGCATGCTGGCGCCACTGGCTCCCTGCACAGCTATTGACACCATCTGACATCAACTTTCCCGGTCAACTGTGCGAGCTGTCAAGCAGCCTACAAAGCCAGACGGGCGTGTTCCACTTTGTGCACCTTGATACAGTATGGGCTCTTCCCAGACATGTTTTGAAAAGGTACTTGTTTCGTCTTGTTTGTGATCAGGTGGACGTGATGAGAGTTCCCCCTAGACAACGGCCCATCCGGGCTCTTTGGCTTAATTCCAAGACCCCAGGATGACAGATCAATCATGACATATCATGACCACGTTGTGTGCTCACAAATCTCACGAGCTCAGCCAGGACGGAAGCTTTCTTCCCCAGGCTCGCGACAGCGCTTTACACGCCATCTTTGGCGTGTGAGCTTGTGCAACATGTGCATTGCCTGCATTGCCTACAAAGTGTGTCCAGGCCGGGGCTTTCACTGTCACCGGCCTGCCTGGCTACACGGGGTATGTGCCGGCTTCTTACCAAGTGCAAAAAGGATCCAACATTCCAGAGAGCACGCCCTGGCCCATACAGGCCTGGGAAGGTGGCCGAAAATGTGTATGGCTTGACCTTTCAGAATGCCAACGACCGGGCTGCAGCGGAGGTTCCGTCTTGGGTATCTGTGCCGTGTTGTCAAGCTTGCTTGGCTCAGGCAAAAATGCTGCGCACCACAGGCAGACTGCCAATGTCGTATGCAGGACGGACGTATGATGGCGGGCTGCTTACGATCCGCATGCGCAGCTTGCTGTGGGGCTTCGTAAAGGAAAGACCCTTGCTGATCGTCCATTACGTTGCACTTGCATGGACGGTCGATTTGATGTCATGCGGCTCTGGCCAGGTCCCGCTCCTGGTGCTGAGGCTGCATTGCCAGAAAAAGTCCTTTGAGGAAAATGCTAAGTACGGCATCCAAACTGGCAGATTCCTGGCTACACTGGCTTCATCCCGGGACGGTATGCTGACAACATCATGGGAACCACGTACGCAAAGGGCGTGTGGGCCTTGTCGCAAACTACCCCGTCACATATGTACAAAATGTCCCGTCATGTTGGTGGCATGCGGTGTCGTGAGCTGAAGGCAGTGCTCAGCCACACAATCCTGAGGCAGAACTTGCGTACTTAGTCAAGAACCAGCAGATGGCTGAACGCCTTCACCGAGTGCAATGCTACCGTCAAATTCTTACGCACGGCATGTCAGATCAGCAAACCTGGACCATCGTTCCATATTGGATGTGCTTCATATGGAGCAAGGTCAGGGTGAGAGACCCGTTAGCCGGCCGGGATGAAGAACGACGTGCAGCCTCACATGGCGTAAGCCCCATTCTCACACGTTCCAACATGCTAATAGCTGGGAAGTAGACGCAAGTGAAGTCGTGCGGGTGCGGTGTTTCAGCTGCGGCACTGAGATCCACAGAGGCATCTTTGTCTCGGGCGCTCGAAACTGAGCGCGAGGATCTAGAGACTTTAGGGCGCCATGTTTCCTGTGGAGGAGTCGGGCATGCGTCTAGCTCACCAACGTGTCTCACATCAGGCCGCAGGCCTCACACTGTTTCACAGATCTTCATAGATCACAATTTCAGAGCAAGGACGGCTAGAAGCAAAGCGTCTCGCAGCGTGCATCTGAACTCGGTGGGGGGAGCCGTGAGCCGTTGGAGCATCGTGGGACAGCGTTGGGCTCGCTATGCTGACCATGAGTAGGACTAGCAGATGGATGTGAGATTGTACACGTGGAAGAGCATGGAAGCAGAATTTCGGACGATGGGGTTCTTCCTCCTACTCGCATGCAATCCTGGTGCATTCGGGATGGCTGCTCCTCATTGTTTGACTGACAAATCAGTAGTGAGAGATATGAGAGACATGGACAGACATGTGTAGGGCTAAGCATGTCGGAAGAGATATTGGGAATCCCGCGGCTGCTTCTTGAGCTGCCACTTGAACGGATTTGCTCTGTCTCTGTTTGATGCAAAGCATTACAGCTGCCTTGCAAAGGTCCTTCGTGGTCATTGCTCTGCATGGAGTTGCTGCTGTGTGCACCGAGTTTGTGTTCCAAACGGAAGGCGCGACAGTGCGTCTGAAAGTCCTGGTGCGTGCAGCTTGCATGGCAAGGCTTCGTCTTCGGTCTGTTCTACACCTTTGCTCAGTGACCCTTGACTGAATAGCGACTGCCACTTCCGCCGACCCCGTAAAAGCCGCCAGGCTCCAGGAGCAGAGCAGCAGGGCAAGCAGAATGGCAGCAGGCTGCAGGGTAGCACACTGAAGCTGCCACAAACGCCAGGCGGCACGCTTGGGCGGGCGGGTGGGCGGCGGGGGACGAATGTGTCGGGGTCATGGGGGTGAGGGCCGGCGGGGGTCAGGCTTGCTGAGAGGGGGTAAAGGGAGTCGGCAAGGGTCACAATCAGGCGGTCGGAACCGGGTGTGGGTTCTTGAGATGGGGGTTTGGGTTGGGAGTAGAGGTTGGCGACAAGGGTTTGGACGAGGGCGGGCGCGGGGGTGCGGCCAGGAAGGGGGAGGGGGTGGCGGGAACACAACCTTGTGTGTGAAGCGGAGCCACAATCCGACCGAGCAGCAGACCCGGTGGTACGCTTGGACGGTTTTATTATAAACGTTCATGATTAAAGAAAGAAAGAAAAAAGCTTTGGTCCTTTGTCGGTCATCCAGCTCGAGAAGGAACGTCGTGTGAACACGCGAGCAAGCGGGGAGCCGGCAGCGTGCCTGCTTCTCCGGACGTTCTCTCCCCGCATCACGGTGGCTTTTCCCCGGAGCCAGGCTCCTCCCTAAACCGACATTTGCCAGAGCGGAAAAAGCCCTGCACTGGCGCTCGCCCCCAACTTGCCGGGGTCGGCGGATACTAGGAAAAAAGGCTGGCTGCTTTTGTCGCCCTTGTTGCCGGATGAGGCCTAACATTCGCTGTGCTGGCGCTGGTGCAGTCTGTGGTCAGAGGCTGGAGCAGTGTGTGGCACAGCTATGTGAATGGTCTACAGTGTAGTCTACAGGATCCTCTTCAGACTGTTCGCCTTGAAGTACCTTTAGTCTTGTGCTACTACGGCATGATGGTGCAGTCTTGCCATGCCGCATCCGATGTTAAATTTGCTGCGCCAGGATTCCCAATGCTGAAGCCATCAGCTCTACGTGGCTCTGCTATTGCCGGGCACGCCATCCCAGTCTCGTGGTGCGATGTCAGCGATGTCAGCGTGCAATCTTTCTAGGCTGGCGATGACAGTCCAAGCCCCAGGAAACAACATAGGAGCGGACATTGGGAAGGTTCGTGACGGTACGCCAGTGGTTAGCACGTGGCTTGCTGTTTAGTATTTCTATGTTTCTATGTATTTCTCCCCCGAGTATACTTCCGCTAGCAACCTCTGTTTTGAGAAGCCCGCAAAACGA